TACTAATCAAACATGTATCAAGATACGAGACAGAGATGTCATGTCTCGTCAGACCGAGACACATATCAGAGAACGCACGACAGCATCGATCTCGTAGATTGTAGTGACTGAGATCGCATGACCTCCACTGTAGTCGTACTCTTTGTCTTGATTATTTCTCTCGAACATACTACTCGCACTTGCTTATGGAGGATGCAACACCGTGTAGAAGCTTTGTTCTTGAATATACCAACAAATTTTATCATAGGAACGGAGAAGATGTGTCGATATTGACTCCTTGGTGGGATAGCTAGTGCGAACAGAGAGAGAGAGAGAGAGAGACCGAGAAAGGATTTTTAGATAGGACTCGCTTTTCTGGTGGATTTGATAGATTATCATCTCAGAGAGCTCTGTTGATGGGATGAATTTTAGATAAATACCAGATAATTACCCGCTCTATATCTTCGTCCTCCATATGACATAATTCGTGATTTGATTGATCTTGATAGAGGATGGATGGTCGATGTGTGTTGCGGTATGTGTTGGGCAGGAAGTAAGTAAGCGGTTGGCAGGTAGGCGCGGCTCCTCGTCTGAACAATTTTGATGATTCAAATGCTCTGAAAGAGCTTTGAATAGGCAATAAACCTTCTTTGTTGGAACCGGGGTGTGCACCAGACCGTTGGATACGTTGGTGTAGTTCCATTTGTATATTATTCCTTGATATGGTATAATGCGATGCGGCGTCAGCATGTTCGGTCTTCTAATGGTATGGTGGGGAGGAGAATGATGAATGTAAAGATGAAGAAGTGGAGAGGACGAAAGTGGAGGGGTCCATGGTGATGAGGAGGGCGTGCTCTGGAGCGGGTGGGACGAGGATAGGGAAGAGGATGGGAAGAGGATGGGATGAGGATGGGAAGAAGATGGGAAGAGGATGGGATGAGGATGGGATGAGGATGGGATGAGGATGAGATGAGGATGGGGGTGAAGATTATGATGTAACGTGATGTACGAATGCGACGTGCGGGTATATGAGAGATATGAACGAGTGTTTATTACGAAGAAGGAGTTGCTAGTGCGATGATGGTTTCTGAAACGCAATTTGAGGAGAACAAGAAAGAGAAAGAAAGAAAGAAAGAAAGAAAGGGAATGGATAAGGGAGAGAGGGAGAGTTAGGTGATGAGATGGATGAGATTGTTGTGTGTGTTCTTTCCAAGGTTTTTTTCTCGTGTGGGACTGAATGAAAGCTCTAGTATCAGTTTAGGTTAGGTTGGGTTGGTTATGACCATTGAGTTGGGTGTTGGACTCTACTCGACTCGTTTATCCGCTAGGGGAGGCTAATGGCTGGCAGTCTTGGTTGTTAGCGTGAGGCTCGGGTTGTGGGTTAACGAATTGGCTGGGGAGTGAATCTTTTCATGGTACTTTCTGGGACGTTTGGGTTATAATTGACTAGGAGATGGAAAGAATAGAGTGAATGGAGTGATTTTAGCGAGGGAAGTTAGTTGTGCGAATTGTGTTGTTGCATCGAGCAGATGAATACTGCCAAGTAGATGGACGATGGTATAACAGGGAAGCCTAATTCAAAGCAATAGGATATTTTTAGTAATGATGCCCTTCGGATCAAGGAAATAAACAAAAAGATATAGAATCGGGAAAATATCTGGGGTAGATGTACAAGAATGTGGATCCTGGTGCGGAGTGAATAGTGGCATCATTGGCTACCCACCTCGTCATGGTTTAAACTACGAAAAGAGCGATCGATATATTCTTATGCTTGTCGGAATGGGGCTTGTAAGAAGAAAAATAGATATGCAACAAAAGTTTCTATGCGGGATGGTTTGGAGGCTCTAAGCGGAGTGATCGGGGGTACTGGCTGGGGATAGTTGGTAGTGGTTAATGGGAAGGAAATGGTAGTAGATAGTATGAATTGGATAGAAAGGTATGGAAAATGTATACCCATCTTACTCTCTTATTTACTACTCATTTATCGACTTCTTATTTGCTTTTGAATATCTTTTTTCTAGCTTTCATTCTTGTCCAACTCTTCTTCTATATCATCTAATTCACTCTCCCTTCATTATTTCCTTACTCAACTACAATTCGCCATCTATTGCCCTCTCGTTTCTCCCTATTCACTGTTTTTTCCACTAAAATTTCATTCACTGATATCTAACGTCTATTCAAATATATATCTATTCACTTACTTTTGAATCATCACCGACCAACCAACCCATCGCTTAATTCACCAACATCTCAACGCCCCTATCACTCTTACCGATCTTTTGGGGTAGAACAAATTTTGATGATTCTATGTAAATATACTTTCCCATTTGATATAATTCCACAAACTATTTCGCCTACCTGGAAATACCGGAAACCAAACAGGAAAAGAAAGACAATGATGCTTTTACGTTTACGTCTATTATCTGAAACTTAGATGTTGATACATTCGATACTGACGTCGACCCGTCTTTTTCATGAGGGGCAAGATTACCTACCGACAATTGTGTGTGAGGCTTGGCATTGAAACTATCATATCACGGAAATAGATGAAATTAATACTTAAACATATCTGTAATAAGTACATTCGAACATGGTTGATAATAACAAGCAAGTAGTTGTAAATCGCATATGTCAATGCCGTTGTTGTTAAATATTCCTTGAATCCCACGCAGCCAATCGGCGAGGGGTAAAAAACTCCGATAAGCATAGAAAAATAATTCCACCCATGAATTCCCACTTGCTACAAGAATTGCACAAACGCATTCGAAATGCCAATATGAATAGAAGCCTTGCGGTGGCATATGGTCGCCCATTACTGCGGGCTATCAACAGGAACTGGCTCCTTCAAAGAAACTCCTTTGCGAGTGTTGCAGCAGACACAAGGTATAAAATGCGCCCCTCCAATTCCAATCCTCCACTTCTCAACTAATTCTCTACCTTTAGACCGTACGATGTCGTCGTCATTGGAGGAGGTCATGCGGGAGCAGAAGCTTGTGCAGGAGCTGCGCGATCTGGTGCCAGGACTGCATTGATTACGCCGAAACTCGAGAATATCGGTGTTTGTTCTTGCAATCCTAGTTTTGGGGGAATAGGGAAGGGGACTATGTTGAGGGAGGTGGATGCGCTAGATGGTGTTGCGGGGAGGATTATTGATAAGGCGGGGGTGCAATTTAAGGTGTTGAATAGGAAGAAAGGTCCTGCGGTTTGGGTAGGCGCTTATTGTGGTGGCGGCAGCTTGATATTGCGTGCTAAATGTCTGTTAGGGTCCTAGAGCGCGAGTCGATAGGGATTTATACAAGAAGCATATGCGAGAGGAATTGGAAGCGTATCCGAACCTTTCAATTGTAACGGGCAGTGTGGCCGATATCATTGTTTCGAAGGAGGAGGGCGAGACGCAAAATGGAAAGATTACAGGTGTGCGACTGGAATCGGGAGAAATCATACCTACGAAACAAGTGGTCATCACGACTGGCACATTTTTGGGCGGTGAAATCCATATCGGCTTGGAATGTTATCCTGCAGGGCGCATGGGCGAAGCGGCAACATTTGGCTTGAGCAAATCGTTGAAAGATGCTGGTTTTACTCTAGGAAGGCTGAAGACGGGGACGCCTCCTCGGCTTGCAAAAGGTTCGATCGATTTTAAGAATCTTGCCGTGCAGCCAGGAGATCAACCACCGACGCCTTTCAGTTATCTCAACAAAACTGTTTCTGTCCAGGAGCAACTACTCTGCCATGCTACGTATACGAATGAGGCTTCGCATGCCGTGGTCCGGGCAAATTTAGATAAGTCTATACACATTAGAGAGACTGTGAAAGGACCCAGATACTGCCCGTCGCTCGAATCCAAAGTCATACGATTCTCTGATAAAGATAGACACATTGTATGGCTAGAACCGGAAGGATTTAACAGCGACATCATCTATCCCAACGGTATCTCCATGACTATACCAGCGGAGGCTCAGGAGCAACTTTTAAAAACCATCCCGGGACTAGAAAATGTCACAATGACAGCTCCAGGTTATGGTGTAGAGTACGATTATGTTGATCCTCGAAGTCTAAAAGCAACACTGGAGACAAAGGCAATTCAAGGTCTTTACTTGGCAGGTCAAATAAATGGTACTACAGGTTATGAGGAAGCAGCTGCGCAAGGTATCATAGCGGGCATCAATGCTGGACTTGCATCACAATCATTACCACAATTGGTTTTATCTCGCAGTGATGGATACATAGGAATCATGATCGATGATCTAATCACTAAGGGTGTTTCGGAACCTTACCGCATGTTCACGTCTCGCAGCGAATACCGCATGAGCGCCCGAGCCGACAATGCCGATTTGCGACTTACAGAAAAGGGGAGATCGGCAGGAGTAGTAGGTGAAAAACGCTGGTCTGCCTTCAATGATGAGGTCGCTCAAATGGAAGGTCTCAAATTGGCGCTTGGAAAAAGTACATTTAGTGCTCCGGTTTGGATCAACGATGGTTTTAAAGTATCAAACGATAGTACCATGCGAAGTGCCTTTGACGTTCTACGCATTAGAGACGTAACAATCAACGATTTGTCAACCCGTATCCCAGAAATTTTAACCTACACCCAACGAATCAGAGATAGAGTTGGTATTGAAGCCGTTTATGCACCATATGTCGCACAACAAAAAGCGGCACAGAGAGTCTTTCAAAAGGATGAAATGCTTAAATTGCCGGTGGATTTAGATTATGATTCTATATACGGGATTTCCATGCATGAGAAATCGGTGCTGAAGATGACAAGACCCGAGAGTGTGGGACAGGCAAGAAGAATTGAGGGTATGACGCCGAGTGGATGTTTGAGGTTGTTGGCTTTTGTGAGGGAGAGGTCGAGGGCGGTTCAAAAGGCTAATATGTTTGAGGAGGTTACTAGGAAGAAAGGGGAGAGGGGTATGTTGATTGAGGGGGAGGGAGGATTGATATGATCCAGTTGTTCTGTGGAGGGGATGAAAGTGTATAGATATGCATGGCAACGGCGTTCAAGGGGAAGGTCTGGTGGATGGATAAAATACTTTGGATTTTTAGATGTGGACAGACGCCACAATGTAAAGATATTTCTCCGATATTGTATGAGGCAAGCAATGGACTTATAAAGATCATAAATTTCCATCCTTAAACATAGTCGATGCGACCAAGGGTTATCAAACTCTACTACAGATATATCAATCATGGTAATGACTCTTTAGCTTTGAACAAGTCTATCTGTCCCAGCTGTTTTCGATGTCTCAAATGAATCCAATATTATCATAGACTTACTGTACTAAACTACATTCTGCATCCACATTCACATTCAAATTCAATCTTTTGTAATACCGTCCTGTCCTAGCTATCAGACACTTTACATATACATATACACCTACACCAACCTCTACACCCACCTACCCAAAAAATACCCATCACCCATCCCATCCCATTCCATCTACCAACCTCAAACATCACATATTAAAGGAAAGACCATCATATTTACTATTACTACTTCTCTTGCGTTATCACTCGACATAAGGAAGTAATCATACCTAGTACCTAATGAGATCACAGTGCTCAGAGAGATTATACCGAGATTATATGTATGCATATATGCATATTCACAAAAACATTGTATTCAGACGGGCGGTGAGTGATATATTCTATTTTATTCCAATTCCGAGTATGTATCTATGTATTTCATCCCCGTCATGTACACAAAATAAACAGCAACAACAAGAACCCAGGAACTAAAGCCAAACTATATCGACGAATTGGGTATGGAGGCGAGTGGATAGGGAGTATCAAATGACCACCATCCATCCGTATATGATGCAGAACTCCAATATTAACCCATATAAACATTGACCACGTAGAGAATTACAGAAAAATATGTGCAACCTTTCCTAAAATCATGAATGCGCTTGCTCACCGTGCCCGCATTATTCGGCATGAATGAGATCTTTGGGCAAGAAAGCCCAAACAGTACCCACGATCGCCATTATAGAACTAATGACAATCAAGCAATAATCCAAGATCAGTTCTCTCCTAGTAATCTCTTTCCCAAAGATCTTGACGTAGAACAGAAGCGGCAGAATCACGCAAATGCTAAAGCACAAAGCCGAACCCATGAACGCCATAATACTATCGAAAGCTGGAAAGAGGATTGCTATGATCACAAATACAATGAGTACAATGATGCGAACGGCGATTTTCATTATACCACGGGTGTAACCCGAGAGTCCAGTAAGGGCCGATGATTCAGCCATGGCGCGAGAGTCAAGTCCACAGAGCAATTCGATTGTAGACACGATGGGACGAGCGTTCAGTGGAACTTTAGTCAAAGGAATGATGGCAATGAATATGCATATCATAAGAGATAAGCTGCGGGGGTAGCTTGAGTTTCCGATAATATTGGCTGTGACTTCATCCATGACGTTATCTATAGGTATGTCAGTAGCCGTTTGACACAGATGCGTTTTGCAAGACGCATGCTCGGGAGTTGAGAAAAATGGACAAAAATAAGAATACGAGGACAAAGGAGCCTGAAATCCGAAAATCGATGGGAACTTACCTCCAAACATCAATATTCCAGCTAGTGCAGTTGTAGCATCGAGCACATACTGGGGATTTCTTTTAGCACAATGTAGAGCTGAATATTGAATGAAACTTACTGTGAAACTGAATGTATATTTGACAGCTTTGTCAAATTTATATGGATGTCTCATGTCACGATAAATGTTGGGAAAGACCGAGTGTCCACCCCAAGGCGACATCATTAGGCCGAACGAAAGTGGAAGAGTGAGCCACTAAAGAGGTATAGAGTCAGCAGAGAGTGCAAAATCAGAGCGGATATAAGCAACATGCAGATGACTTACGTTGGCTGGAAATATGTACTGAGTTGCCGGTTCTAGTAAAGAACCAGGAGTTCGTGGTGTTACGAAACCATCGATGAGAATTATTAGTACAACTATAACGGTCAGCCAAGGTGTTAGAGTTACAGGTCATCTTTACATACTTGAAAAGCACGAGATGATCCCAAGAATGCTAGTGAAACTCAATAGACGTAGAGGGACAAAATTAAGCGGTATCAAAAGAAGACCGCAGAGGACTTTCCACTCATTTACTCCGACGGATGGAATTAGTGAGTTCAGGGAATCTGCGAAAAGAACAATCAAGGCAACACAAGCCGCTAGAAGCTCCATAGTGAAAAGTATACTAGTCGCTATATTTGCTCTGCGGCCGTAGGATGCATAGGCAACGTCTGCGAAGCTCAGAAGACTGCGATCTCGATCCATGCACTTAGCCAATAACTTCGCAGTATATGACGTAACAAGTGCCGATAGAAGGAGTAATATCATGCCGCATAACAATCCTGAGTACTTCAACCCCATGGGGAGACTGAGTAAACCAACTCCAATGAGAACGTTTGTGGAGTTAAGGATTGTCTGTGGGAGAGTGGACTGCCCCTCAACCACAAGCACAATTTTCCCATCTTCTTCGACCTCCTTGACAATCAGTGGCAAGTGTTCCTCGTCTGCAACATTTGCGCCGGTAGCTTGTTGTTGTCGCCAAAGCTGGCCGGCATGAATCATGGATGATTCGTTCAAGGTTGAACGTAATGTACCGTAAGATGTTCCATAGCTTCCTGCTAGAGGAGTTGATAGATGCGGGGCAATCGCAAAGATAGATTGGTTCCCCCTTACACTTCCTTGTACGCTTGCATGATCGCCTCCAGCAACACGTTCCCCCTCGGACTTCCTGTGACTGGCGACTCGGGACAGGCTGCTTTCTGTTTCATCTCCAAGTGCAGACTCATCATCAACCGTATTATCTGAAGTCGATCTCCGCAACTGCTCTCTAATCAAGGAAGAACGAGGTATCCGCCCATAGTCCGTCTGCACTCCTCCATATTCTAGATCTTCACCATCACCTTCCTCGGTACTATCTTCTGCAAGTATAAATGATGGACGACGCGGAGTAATCTCGTGGAATGCGGAAGCTCGTGTCAGACTTCGCGCGAAGTTTTCGATACTGTTCACACCTCCAGCATGTGTAATGGAATTGAATCGCATGGCAATTGAGGACCTTCGAAAAACATATTAGTTGTCTACATAGGCGGAGAAGGGAAAGGAAGGATTACCTCCGTCTTCTAAGACCTTCATTTTGATCATTTTGATCCCCAGGGACTAAATAATCAGACTCTGCAGATGGGGAGAAATCGCCCGAGTCAAACCGGACACTTCTATTACTACTAATAGAGCCTCTAGGAGATCTTGATGTGCCATGTTCGTATTCATAGAAAGTTGTTGGATTTCGATTGGGAGGACGCGCCATGATGAGGAGGTATTAAATTATTAGTTAATGTGTGATATCGTCAACTTCCGCCGATGAAAACCTGATAAGATAAAGTCGGAAAGTCTCCAAATCTTCAGTTCCACTCGATCAATCTCTTCGCAAGTACTGAAAGTCTCTTGAGAAGAACACACGAGCAAATTTAAAATGGCCAAGATCAAAAAGCCGAGTGTGATTGGTGTGGGTTGTGCGGAATCTCCTCTGATAGAATCGAGAGATCTAGAAGGAAATATTTTAAGATTTTAGTCCGCCTTTTCAAAAACCAAGCTTCTCCCCCCAGAGATAAGGCTTATCGCTCTTCCAAAAGCCGATAATCATACGAAATTCGATTTATGCACAACTCAAGTTTTTACATCACTCCCCTTGTATATTTGTGCAAGCATCAGGTATTTGTTTCTTCCTGCTCTTTTCCTCTCCCTTTCTGATTCTCGATGGCCACTTCTCTCAAAGCAACATTTTCTGAGATCTTTCTCCACCATAGGACTTGCCATTCCAGAACTTCATTTTCCAAGTTTGCTTTCTCACAATGTAACATTGAGATTAGAAACTTGATAATGCAGAAGGCGCAGGTAAAGCATGGATCAAATGCCCCACTTGCCCGTCAAGTCCTTTGTAGATTACACGAAAGCACCATGTAACGGAAAAGGGTACCCACGCATGAGGCAGATAACATATTGGCCGAAAAGTATACCCCCTCTCTCCACTCCCCACCTCCGAAGGCGTGATTCTTACTGTTCCGCATTATAAACGGTTAACCAGCACCGTCTTGACAATTGATTGCGTGCCCTTTTGTCTCTATACATTTATCAGGAGAGAGCGAGATGTTTTTGGAGGATACCTGACCCACCACATAAAATTTTGAGTCCGAGTAGCCCGTTCTGCATCTTGCTGTCGCCCCTCCAATATGCGGGGGTCAGTTAAACATTCCATCCATTGCCAGGTATCCGCGTTGCTTGCGACGATCATTATCTGAGTTTGTACATTGATGTAGTCTGTAGTTGGGGTAGACAGGTTGCTACCAATTCATCAACATTCGATGTATAATGTCAACTGTCTCTCCTCCTAAACTTGCTCAATTTTTAAGCACAATCGAGAAATTGTTGCGACTACCCCCAGCTCGAATCTCTTCCTTCTTCCATTGTCGTGGTTTCATTGACGGTGATTGTAAACGCCAGAGATAATAAACTAGCTTGTTCGAGAGTTTCTTCTTTACCATAACGTATCCCAAGCTTTCCATAATCGCTTCTAACCTGGCTTCATCCATATAACGAGAGTTGTTCACACAAGGCGATGGTAGGACCAAGAACAATGCAGGGAACCATTTGCTGAATCCTTCACCAGCCGGACAGATTGTCTCCAGGAATTTGCGAGTCCGGAGCAACATATTACCTCTGCCTACGCCGTCTGGGACATAATTCAAAACAAGGGAAAGACTGATAATATTGAATTTCTCGGTCTCGTCTTTTGGTAGCGGTCGTTCCATAAAGTCTTGCTGTGTAATTCCCTCCGACTGACTATTGAGATCGATTCTCTCAACATGGAAGGTATGACTTCTTGAGCAAGCGTTTGTAGTACTCAGTGCTCCAACTTCCAACATGCGAACTGGCGAGTTCTTTTCCGCTAGACCCTTGAGATCTTTACATAGAGGCGCTAGCCAGTCCATCAAGATTTTGCTGCTATCACCACCTCTATCACTACCCTGTCCGATGAGACTTGCACGTTGATAGCTCTCCAATCCACCCTGTGAAGCAATCTCACGTGTTAGTGCTACGGCTGTGATTTCGTCTCCCTCAGCTAAAGCTTTAGCCTTTCGTTTCTCCAATGTATGATGATTACGAATTATAGTTCGAGTAGCTTTGCTTGATATACGTTGAGCTGGTTTCTTGATCGTCGGTGGTCGACCTTGTGAGAGGGACTTCAGTTTGGTTTTCTTGTTGACGCCCATGGTAGAAGATTTGAGAACTTCAAATCAATTCAAAAACCAATATGAATCTTTCAAGAACTGAGTATTTCCACAGGGTGAAGAATGAATTGAACCAATTATAAGAAGAAACGAAACTTAGCTAATATATACATATAATCTACTTGAAGAAATCCAAGGGAAAATGCATCCTCGATACTCCGGAAGTCGGAAATACAGTTTTGCCGATTAGCGAAATTTTCGCACACGATCTTTCAATTTGATCTTTTTTACCTCAATGATCTTTTGAAGCAAACCATCAACTCCTCGACAACTCAAATCCAATACTAATCCACCAGGAAGTATATTCGTCGAAATGGCTCCCCCAGCAAAGAAAGGTACAGTTCCCTTTCTCTCAAATAAGCATTGATCGCATTCTTGATCGCAATATTGTCCTTGTGTGGAATATTGCGGCCGCTTTGAAAGTACGAAAATATGAAAATATTTCCAAATACAACGCGAAGGAATGCGAAAGATGCGCACCAGCAGTAGCAGATATTGCGAGTTCTTTAAGAGCGCTTGCTGATGCGTAAGTTTTAATAGGTGCTGCCGCCAAGGGTGGTAACAAGAAGGCCAATGCCGCTGCTAAGGCTACCTTGAAGGGTGTAAGTTCTTCTATCTATTGCTGTTATTGACATTTGATACTGACAATTCCATCAGGTCCACTCCCACAAGGTCCGCAAGGTCCGTCTCTCGACTACTTTCCACAGACCTAAGACCCTTCAACTCTCCCGTGCACCAAAGTACCCACGTACTTCCATCGTCTCGCAACCCCGTCTCGATGAGCACAAGGTCATCATCCACCCATTGAACACCGAGAGCGCCATGAAGAAGATTGAGGAGAACAACACCCTTGTCTTCATTGTCGACATCAAGGCAAACAAGGCTCAAATCAAGGAGGCCTTGAAGAAGCTTTACGACATTGACACTGTCAAGATCAACACCCTCATCCGGTACGAATATATTGATAAACAGAATTTTGGACAGTTGCTAATACACCAATAACAGACCAGATGGATCCAAGAAGGCCTTCGCCCGTCTTACTGCCGATGTTGATGCTCTTGACATTGCTGCCACCAAGCTCGCAATCGTCTAAATTGTCAAACTGGGAGTGGAATTAGGAATCTGGATTTGAGGGAATAAAAAGTTATATGGTTGATAGATGAACAGCTTTTTCTACGATTGGCTGATACCCACATCCATACGGCATAATGAGATGATTTTAAAAATATGTACACCAATGCAGTACCATCCTACCAATGACAATTCCTGATACACTTGATAATATGTGCACTTGGTGACGACTCTTTACGACCTACGTCTCGCTCCTGTGGAACTGATATCTGGGGCTCGCATCGAGTGAACTAGCTCGACTTGCACTTGGGAATAATTTGTGTGAAAGCCCTGGGTTCTACATTGCACAATCACGGTGATGGATAGCATACGGTCCTGCATGAACTAGTCTTATTCCACATTCTGAAGCTTCTGTCCATTGACATGTACGATACATTGAATTTGCACATCCTCATCCAGGTGTATATCATAATGTCAAGAACGATTTATCAATATTCTCTATAATACTACCAAGACGGCCGTTCAAATAGGGATATCATATCACATCATATCATTCATTAATCCCATCTAATCTGGCATACCCCGCCCCGGATTTTCTATTCATACAAAGACATCATTCATCCATGCATGTCTCATCCATATCCATATTCCTACTCTATGAACCCGTCCGCCCGTGTCTTCATTTATAGCCGTATCACATCTACCAAATAAGTATTAAATCCGAACCGGCATCTTATAGTAGATGTTCCCCCAATACCATAACATCCACGCATCACATCTCGTCATGTCACATTATACACCTCCTCTCTCCCTTCCCCATTTACCTCTCAACTCAAACACCCCAACCCCCCAACCTCAAATCTAAACCCTCAGGCGCCCCCATTCGCCCTCATAGTATTCAAATGCGTAATAACCGCCATACTACTATCCAAAAACCTGTCTACACAATTCATGGTGCAGGTCTCCTCACTCTTATCCAGTTTTCCGCTGCGAATACTACCCGTGACGCATTTTTTCCAGCAGACATCTGTGAGGGAGTGAACGGCTGTAGTTTGGTTTTATTAGCTAGTGTCTTCATCATAGTTCGTTCTTTCTTTTTTGTTTTAAATCCTGCGTTCAACGCCCATTTTTCTTCCTTGAATTTGTGTAGGGGTGACTGAGGTAAAGGAGGAGGGAACGGAAATCGATAAATTAATTCTCAATTCCCAATTCCTAACCTCAATCCCAAAACCAACCAATCAAGCCAAACCTCCCATCCAAAAAGCAACAAACCCCCCTCAAAAAAACAAAAAACAAAAAGAAAGAATACATACACTGTTGAATCCTAGCCTTCTGCGACTCATTCATAATAAACTGTTGCAATTCCTGCTTATCCCTATCCGACAACTTGGAGAGATCCGGTGTTTGCTGCTGTAGAGATGAGGAGTCCATTTTTGCTTGTAATTCCTTCTTAAATATTGAGAGTTTCGCACTTGTGCTATTGAGAATTGGTTCGAAGAAAAGGGAAGATATCCGCGTATATGTGTGTGAGGGAATGTGATGGCTTGCTTGCTTGGGCTGGAATTGTTTGATTTAATATTTCTAGCTTCAGAGAGCTTCAGAAATTTTGCTGGGTTCAAAGTATCGGCATCGGCGTCATCGAGTCACGTGGGGTACATTCTACGGCCGCCCCAGTACCAGCGCCTGCGAATTTAAAGGGAATGTCAATCATCACAATATTGAGGTCATAAGTCCGTAGCATCTAATCAATATTAACACTATCAAAATCTAGAGACATCTATATAGGTATCCAAGAGATCTGTAATGGTATCACTACTCTTTTACCCCCTTTTTTCTGTACTACATCAACCAAAATTCTCAACCTTCCCACAAGTATTATTAGTTCAAAAACTGTTCCCCCTCCACGAACATCTAAATATATCTATAACGTCTTGCAAGTGCCAGAGAAGCAAGACTGAATACCACCAATACAGCCAAAATCGTGAAGAAAGGAATGAGACTCTGAGCGTTCTGGAAAGGAACATTGACATTCATACCAAACATACCACATACCAAGTTGAGTGGAACCAGGATGGAAGCGAGGAGAGTGATTTTGCTGAGGACCTTATTTGCGTTGTTTCCTTGGGTGATGTTGTCGATAGAGAGTTGTGCTAGGTAATTGCTGTGTGATCTCGAGAGCATCTTCTCAGAGTGTCCCAAACTGGTCATCATAGTGACAACGTGATCTTGAATGTCGCCAAGATAAAGACCAATATCCATATGAGGAGTGACTTCGTAATTTGAGTTACAACGCTTTGTAAAACCTCTCAAAACATCGGCTTTGCCTCCAAGAAGTTTCATCAATCCCATGACATTCTTTCGAACCATGCCGATTTTTCGTAGAAAGGTATGCATATCATCACTGCGAGCGATAAATACCTGATCCTCAATAGTATCTGTTTCGTTATCGATTTTGTGGATAACAGGTGCGAAAGAATCCACGATATCATCGCTGACAGGTCATTAGTCTGTGATCTTAAAACGAATTAGGCAAACTTACATTAAAGCATAGCAGATCCAATCACTGTTCAAAGACAAGTAATCCTTAAGCAACGTGATGCGCTGCCGAACATTGGTTGCATGTGTGTTGGGTGAAAAGCTGAAGCTTAGTAAGCCCTCTCGGAAGACGATGACATAAATGTTGAATGGATCGTATTCTTGGCCATCCTCAATTTCCACTACAGAAAATGAACGGAAACAAGCGAAATAGTACGAAGGGAAGAGTTCAATCTTCTCTCGCGTCTCTTGAGCTGTAATATCCTCAATGGTCAGGGGATGGACTCCAAATGCTTTGCAGATTACTCGAATCTCGCTCTCTGTTGGATTGTTCATGTTCAACCACCAAACGCCCTCTCCTTGTTGTCCTTGTGGACGGGCGAATAGGTTTCGAATATCTTCTCCTTCTAGAATGAGATCCCCGAATTCTGGAGCATGAATAGTATCTACTCCATGCGAGGAGAAGTATTCAAACCTGTTAGTGTCGAGATGTGGCTGCTGCGGTCGTGTAATCTCCTCAAGGCTAGATAAGTCCAACTTTTCATTGATAGAAGGTGGGCCTGAAGGAATCTCGACAGCTGTACCTTCTGATGTTACAATCATGGGTATCGCACCATTGCTTCTCAAGTCGTGGAAAATTCGAGGTTGCGCGTGGTTGACTGGAGTCTTGGCACGATTTTCCTCTTCTTCAATGAAATCCTCGAGAGTGTCAAAATTAATCTGGAGCGTATTTTTGGTTGGAGAAGGGTGTAGAGGGAAGCAAACATCCTCTTCTGCCGACTTGCATGAACCTGCAAAGCTTTTTGCATCATTATCGTTAGTGTAACGTCTGCTACGGAAAGTGCGATGGCTGCGGTGACTTGCGCGCGATTCGGTTCTATGAAGAGCATTGTGTTCTTCAAGTCGCCTAGCATCTGCAAATGCCTTCCCAGAGCTTGGATCCGAAATAGACATCTCCCGCTCCCTTCTTCTTGCATCAGCGAAGGCCTTTACTGAACTTGGCGGCGATAGAGAACGAATCTCAGCAGTATCCGCGGTTCCTCGACGACTTCTATCTGCCAGTCGAACAGCCATTGGGGAAACTCCCCTCGCATCCTCATCGACAACCGCTTCCTCGAAATCTCTTGCGATTGTCTGAAGAAGAGTGTTGTTCACGCGTGTTAGGTCTGGGCTATGTGGAGCTCGGAAAGACGGGGCGTGCAAAGTATCAATAGTGCCACTGCGGGAGCGAGCCTTTGGTAGAGGCTGCGATTGGTATCTGTGATCATCCAACTCTGGCACCGGCGTGCTGTAGCCAGTATCGAGGGATGTATCTTCGTGTTCAGACATTTTGAGGTATGAAATAAAATATGTTTGGATTAAGTTCTGCGTCCAGATTAGCCAGTAAGCCCCGACAGTTACAACAACGACGGCATACTAATTTCTAGGAAGCCAAAGCTTTCAAAGTTCTAGGCAGGTCGCAACGAGCGCCCACCGCTTGTTTGGCGTCAATTTGATAGATGACTTTGCACAGGTCGTCCCTGTACAGTATGATTCCTAATGAAGAATGGCTACTCGTCCATCCGCTACCCCTTGGGATTATGTGTAAATGCGCAGTTTATATATCGATTTGGATTGCTTTAGGTGCAATTATGGGGGTTTCTTGTCGCCTCCGCAGTAGGCCCAGATCTTCACTGGACCGAGGAGGGGACGGATGAAGGAAAAGTCTTGAAATACGAGTCCCGCCAACTTGGTGGTTTGTTGTTTATGAAGCCGCCGAGGCGATGAGTGCCGAAATATTTGACGTTCGAGTTCGACAATCCTGTTGCGACAATCTCAATATTTCGGATGTGGGATAGTATTTGAGTAAAGTTAATCGTGGCTTGGGTTGTTGGAAGAGTGGAAGAGTGGGAAACGAGGTTTTGTGGGCGGCCGGTCTCAAGTTGAAGTTTTTCGAGGGCAGAAACTTGTAGAAAGGTTCGGCCTTTGTAAGGTGATGTTGGAAAACCCTAAGCGTACTTCTCTAGTTCAGGCTAAGGTTGCAGCCCAAGGCCGGATAACTTATTTTTGGGTGCTGCCCGGCTGTAAAATGATGATTTAAGATAATAAGTGAAAAGCAAGATATCTTTTGGATGAAAAAGAAGTTGAAAGGTCGAAACCAATCCGTTGGTGTTTGGAGTTGTAATTTTCAAGGAGTTACAAGAAGTGGAGGAAGAAAGGTTGAAAGAAATCTTGGTGGAGACTGAGACGGAGACGGGAACCGGTACTACCTAACCATACCTAACATCTAACTAACATCTGAGACTCGTGCATCTTCTTGCAAGTACGTAGGTACACACAGATGAATTGCTAAGGAATATTGGTGGAAATGAAGAAATTGGCCTACCATCCTCAGCCATTTTATATATACGTGCAAACCGCACTTTTTTTTGTACGGGACCATCTCGAAACGCCGTCTCCTTTCATAACCAAAATTTATCTACTCCGTAAACCACATGAACAACTTTCTACAGCCAAATTCTTCTGCTCGGAACCATAAAAGCTATTCGGTGTGGTATGATTGTGTTATTGATATCAGAAGGTCAAGACCTTGCAATACTCTTCAAAAGACCAAAAGATACAAGTTCTTTTTTCGAATACGGGGTTGTTCATTGGTTCATTGATTCATTAGATTGTCTGAATTCTCCTCGAGTAATTGTCTAGTTGCTATTTTGGTACAATCGGATGACATCTTGAAGTTTATTATTGAATGATAATTGGTAGAATGAAACGTTCTTAATTGATACATCGCGGCATTTTTAAGAGATCCAATAACGTTGGGGAACTCTTTGTTTGTTTCGTATTCCCCAAGCCGCTTCTCTCGTCGTGAATTATCGCCATACATGTCTGCGTCTGTCTGATCACATCTTATCGATTTAGCCAAGACTTTGAGGTTTTCGTACAGCTCATTCCAGCTACATGATAACCTCAATATCAAGCCATTTGAGTAACAGGATCATGTAAATTGTACATCTAGTTGTACCAAAATCGCTCATCCCTCACCCAGAATCTATGCATGTGCTCTAGATCCCGGTTATCAATTTTCGGCCAAGGCGATTAGTAGCCACAACAAGGCTGAAGTGTGGCCTTAACTCAAGCCCAAGGGACACCTTAGAAACTGGTAACTTTTCACGAAATCGACATTCTTATCTAGAAAAAGGCTTGATTTGTTGTCACAATAAACCGGTCAATCCTATTTTAGATAAACTACGAATATGGCAGACCAAATTCTTGACCAGATTCGGGATCTTGCCGAAGGACAAATTGTTAGTACACAATCATATGCACTCACTCTCATTCCTGGGAGACGAGAAGCTGGTTTGACACTGGTTGAATGCTAATCTCCTGTTCCACCTCTAGGACTTTGAAGGACAGAGACTGGCCGAATTCTTGACAACCGCTTTACTCGCAATATCCGGAGTAAATGATCCAATGCTCCCCCAAGCCATTCGGAAAGTACTGATTGATAGCAACAGGCCATTGCCTTCTTCGTAGGCTTTTTCAAACAAGATATTAAACTTGCGCTTGCTTTCGGCTTGCTTGGAACCGCCTTTACCTTCGCCATAGTTGTGCCTCCATGGCCATTCTACAAGAGACACCCTGTTAGATGGTTACCTTTAGGGGGAAGGGATGTATCGCAAGGGATTGTTGTAGATGGCAAGACTGTTGGTTGAGGGATTGCTTAAGGGATATCTACATTGGGGCGTCTTAGGATTGGGAATACCACAAATGCAGACAATATACTAGCACAAACAAAAGCTTCGAATTGAAAGCTACATTGTACCGAACTCTCGTTCTACTTCTGTGTCCATAACGCCAACCCTGCTAGAAATTCTCCAGGTCCCTTCATAATGAATCCTCGGATGAACCACACAGATGATATTTATGCCGCTCCTTTTGGTATATTATTCTCCGTTCGTGACCGTAGCCTCATCATCTTCCCTCAAATCCCATGCAATCCCAATCGCGTTCTCAAAGCCCAAACTTAACGACCATACTTCTGGAACTCCCAATCTCTGTTATCAAGCGGGCAAACTTGGCGTGTCTTCAACCAACGGGAAATACAATGGAAATGAAATGCGTGCTATTCCAGAGTTCAATGTTAGCTTAGATAGAATTAGCGGAAGGGATTACTAACGTTACAAATTCCCCAGGCTACAGTGCACTCCTCACTTGTGGCAGAGGCTTGGTTTGCTTGACATTCGATGCCTTTGTGGAGGTCAGTACTGACTTCCCGTTTGAGACGCTCAAGCTTACAAAGATCCATAATATGATTTCTGCAGATAGCACAATTGTCAACAACAATATCCCATGCCCATAAAGCTACCGCGTTCCACTAAACATTTCGTTAGAGCTGTGCAGATGTGACTTTCAAAGGATTTATACCTTCTTCACTTCGAAGCGCTTCTTGCCTTCCGAACCTTCACCACCTGCTGCCTTCTTTGCACCACCCTTCTTCACTGTAGTTGGTGGGGCGTCTGTCATATCTACGTCTGCCATGATGACGGGAGTATTTGTGGTTTCGATGGGTTATCTAAATTATTGGTGTTGGCGGGGTACTTTTCGAGGGCGCCGAGCGAATGATTATGCGAGTTTAATAGGCGATGGGTTGATAATTGCACTGATCGACCGTAATGAAGTTGATGCCTTTATTGTGGTGGATGAATAGTGCCTTTTCGAAATTCAAGAGAAAGAGCTTCTCGAGGGCTTATGGATTTGAGCGTAGGGTCGATAGCACTCAAGGGAATATGACGGTACTATTTGTTATACCGTAACCTAAAATTATAGAAGCTTTAGTAGCTCACCGTAGTGTCCCTAGTGTCGCACATAGATCATGTGTAAAATCAATCTACTTTAGGCTTGGTGTGGTTACGGTTGTTAGTTACCGTACCTAGTTAGGTAGGTAGGTTTCTACCTAATTAACTTTGATGGAACGGATGACTAATACCTAAACCCCATAAGTGAAACGATACCGTAGGGCGGTTGCCGGGTATCGTATTTACCTTCCTTCAGCCTCTTTCTTCTCTCTTGCTAAAACCATACCACAAATCTTATAACCCATATACCGAACAATGAATAACTTACTTCAACCAATCCAGCACATACAACTAAATAGATTCCACCAAAAATACTACTCTTCTACTAGATCACGAGACGCCCCCAGCGAACGACCACCTCCTTATCTATAGTCCGTCATTCGTACCACCCGATCCACGCACGCAATAGCACAAATACGGGATATCTTCCGTCTCTTGTTAATCAAGCACAATCTTTCGATTTTACTGTATCAACAGACAAATTTTATCCACCCAACCACATACACAAAGGGTCAAGAAGAGATGTCCTCGATGACTCCCCACAAAGGGCAACGTCAAATCCAAAACTCAGCCGCAGAGCTTAGAACAGCCTCACCTCGGAACACAGCTCAAAGTCCGCATGACTTCAACAATCAAGCATACTCGCAGAACATGCACCCCGCAATGACTTATTCTGATCAACCTACTACCCCTCCTCGAACTCCTCGAAGAGCCCAGCAGAATCAGCCAGCCTCTCAAAACAAGCCAAACTCAGCCCTACCCGACCATAGTTCCAGAAAGTCGACTAATAAGAGAAGACCCAAAAATGTGCAGACGTCTCCTGCTACAACAAGGAATGATAGAACTACCCCGCCATTGACTGGCGCTCAATCTACCGGTGGTTCAACTGCTGCCAGACCTATTCAAACACCATTGGCAGCTCAGGCTTATGCCGGGCCAACTTTTCACGCATCCCCTGCCCCGTCGGCTCTACCTATGCCAAGTTTTTATTCAAAGTCTGTTCCAGAATCGCCAGCATTCAGAGCTGGAAATGCGATCAAAGAGCCAGATTCGTCGGCAGATGAATCTTCACAAACTCCGTCTTCAGCACAAATATTTAGTGATTTGTCACATAGGGAGGAGTCACCCCTTGATCTTTTCTTCAAAGCAGATAAACGGGAGAAGGCTGAAAAAATTCGAGCACGAAGTACCAACTCAAATGCAACCGGCTCTGTTGGACCCTTCAACCCCCCACTGGCTTCGCCTGGTGATACGAGAACTCCACGGCAGCCTAACAGTCAATACCGGAATAAAAACATGCCCACTTCTCGTGGTTCAGCAAGTAGTATGTTTTCCATGGAGCTGGACGGATCTAATAGTCCCGGATTGCCATTGGGACCAGCATTCTCCACTCCTTATAACGAGAGGATCAAAGCAGCACGGAAGACCTCGAGTCCACATCAATCCTCACCAAGCAACTCTCAGTCATCATTAGACAAATCGGAGCAACTTAAGGCCTATTTGTTTTCTGAAGAACCATCTACCAATGGTAACCTTGGCCCTGCTCTAAGCTTAACAACAAATTCAGCAATTTCCTATTCAGGTGGACAAAGCTCTCCTGTTGGCCCCAGAAGTGCTGGGTTACCTGGAAGGTCTCCGCAAATGAACTACAAACTCAAAGGTGATTCACGAAGCTCAGGCGATGTCCCCAAATCCGCTCGATCTGGTCTTCGCCAAGAAGTCTCATCAACAAAAACCCCTACAAGAACTCCGGATCGTGCGAATTCATATGGACCATCCCAGAGTCTCTCTCAAATCTATGGAAATAATTTTGCGACTGCCAATAATCCTAATAATACTACTCGGGTCACGGATTCTTCCCCTGCACCACAAGTATCTTCTGGTACTATACCTGGAACTAGCAATCCCGATTTTCGAGGCATGGAAAATGATTTAAGGCGAATCCTGAAATTGGAGTCTCCTGGTTGTGCTGGATCAGCAAGGTAGTTTTTTGCGCTAAATAACTTTCACTTCTCTTTTCAAATGGCGTTCGGGTGATGGCTTATATGTCATCACAGGTAGGATTACTATATTGGCGTTCTGGTTATCATGCACTTTTCCCTCCCTCCAGTGAGAGCGTTATGGTTACGAGTTGGTGCATGTGACTTTCAGGGTTTGTGGCATTTTTATAGAGATGATGGCTTGGTATACCCTTGTTAGTTCTCGCAATGTTAGGGCTGGTTTGCCTTGTATTATTGGGGAGCGATTTCGGAAATGTTCTTACGATTGATGGTCATACCTCAAATCTCATACTGCGACAATTGTTTTGTTCATTACTTGAGGCAAGGCTCGACTGCCTGGGCTACAGCAATTGAATTGGATTACTGGGGGAGGAGAAACGGTGTTTCCTAGCTGTGTGGGAGGAACCAGCAATACTTAAAATAAAAACATAAAAAAAATTCTCGGATCTCAGATTATGTTTCTTGGTCACTGGAGTTTATCGTCGCAGGTACTCTTAAGTGGCTTTTAGTTAGAGCTATCATTGGTAGCTAAACAAAAATGAATCCGTTATAATAAACATAATCCTTTACTATACTGGCTGTGATATTGTATATGATATACTTCATATAGCCGTCAGCAGCTTCCTGACCAACCTCTTCCCGTATATCTAGTATTTTTTGATATATAAGGAACTACCAATCTCCCAAAAGCACCGAAACCTCCAAATAGGGTTGGGAACATTCAGTAGATTGAGTTGTTCAATATAAATGCATCCATGTACTCATAATCCATAGTATTCATAGAATAAAACCATAAATGCCTTTTCTAAATCTCTTAAGAATGAATTTTGGTCCTCTTTCTTCCTTTCCCTCTATCAGACTGGAAGAAAGTTTTTGAATAGATAGGTTGTAGGAAAGAGGAAGAGGAGAAGGAAAGTGTTATTTGTGTATATTTATTTACACATACTTGTATTTATATTTATATTTTATAAAATTAAGAAAAAAAGACAAAAAAGAGAAGAAAACGAAAAAAGTTCCAAAGCAAGATTTAAGTCTTGTGAAGCATTTCTTCCTAGATATTCTAGTTCTTGTTTTCGTCTTACAAAATACTAGTAGAAGGGAGGATAATATGTTTATTATGATTGCTCCACCCCCCATATTAAAGGATCTCTTGTTCTACTTAATATTGTGTATGTGTAGCTATGTAGGTAGGTAGGTACTAGGTACTGGTGAGTCATTTGTGAATATAGTACCGGGATATATAGGACTTGCCCAGTTTTTGCTATATATACATCTATTATCTTTAGGGCATTTTTGCATTTTTGCATTTTGCATTTTGGCTTATGGGATTGGGAGATAGCTCAGACCGGATCAAGATCAGACTTAGAAAAAACATAGGTAGTGATGATGGTGAATGAAAAGCGCGAGTTAACATAAGGTAAGAAGATGAACAACAGTTGTAAGCTTCAAGTACAAAGACTGGTATGAAGATGCTGGATTACTATGCGATAATTGTAATTGTAATTGCAATTCTAATTCTAATTATACATATATCGTCATTGGGACGAAAGTACAATATCTATTCCTAATATATATGTATGTACAGCCCGAATTCCTACAACTATATATAATCCACCATCTATCATCTATTCGTGTGTTTCCCTAGGACTATTTCTATTTTGATTGCTGTTCCTGTTCCTGCTTCTTTTCTTTCTTTGTAGGATCTTGTTGTTGGTTTACTATCTTTACGGCGTCTTTGGTGTAAATGTAACTCATTCCGCTCCAAATGGTGGTTGTGGCTACTAGGTATCTAGTTTGTTTGTTAGTATGCCCGTTTCTATCATCTCCTTCGTCGTTTCGTTCTCTATGTGCTCTTCATCCTCTTTCTCGCCCTCTTCTCCTTTTCCTCTTCATACCACACCATACCACACCCTCGTCACTCTCAACACCCTTTCCCCCCTAAATATCCTACCAAACAAAAAGGTTCCCAAGGCAAGAGAAGAAAACACAAAAATAAAGAAAAAAACCCACTGAAACCCAGTCATAGCAACCCCAACATCCCAAGTAATCAATGGCAGCGCAGTCGTCGCTCCAATCAACCCCAATTGCAGTGCCGTATTATACTTACTAATAGTAGTTGGATGTACTTCTGCAGACGGAAGAGAGAAATCCCAATAGCGAGAAAAGGTTTTAGGAGGAGGAAGAGAAATCCATCGCCAGTAGATGGCGGAGATGGCGAGTCCGATGTCGCGGCCGAGGATTATAGTTGCGAGCCAGACTAAGATAGAAAGTAAGTTGTCTAGTTTTATGTTTCTGGGGAAACTTCAAAAACAGAGCAATTTTGATGGCTGAGATGTTTGGGAATGGGTAGATCAAATCAAGACACAACAAGGCAAAATATAAATCCGAGAAAACATACCAGGCAAACCCCCCTTAATCGCCAAACAAACCGTCAAAATCGTCATTAAAGTCTTATCCGCCATTGGATCAATAACCGTTCCTACCACCGTCTGCAAATTCCATTTTCTCGCAATCCATCCATCTACCAAATCCGTGATTCCAGCATAAGCAAAGAGTGCGACAGCCCACGCATGCTGATCATGCAGAACAAGGTATCCACAAACGGGGGCAGCGATGAGACGAGAGAAGGTAAGGATATTGGGGATGGTGTAGATGTTTTCATGCGGTGTGAGCGACTTGATGGATTTGAGGACTTTGAGAGGTTTTTTGAGGGGTGCTGGTGTTGATGTTGGTTGTTTGCTGGAGGGTATCTGCGTTAGCTTTCTGATTTGGAGGAGCAAGGAAATCAACTTTAGCAATCGGCAGCCAAACAACTCCAGATGTCACCAGCTCACCACCTCCCACCAACTGACCCATTGAGAGCATCAACTCGACATCAACTCAATCACGTGACAAGTGCAACTTTTCCAAGAAACACCCCCGTCCTAGCTCACACAAAAAAAAAACCATAAAAATATCCCCTACCTATCTCTCTTCCCATTACTCTCCGTCGCATACCTCACAATCCCTCTCTCCCGTCGAGACCTACAACCCATTAGCATCAATCAACATCCTTCCCACGCATGCATCACCACCAGCAGATAGCGGATAATAAACAGCAAACAGCAAACAGCAATCTCACATATCAGAAAAAAGCGCGCCCCCAATCTCCCCCGAGCGACCCAGACCCAAACCCAAATCACCCCTCCGTCTACAACTCGAAACCGATTTCGAAAACCATCGCACCGCCAGTCCATGTCCTGGGACCAAGCGCATACACCTCGTAGAATCCCTTCCCGCCGCCATTCCCACCACCCCTCCCATCGATAACCCAAAACCCAAACCCCGCTGCCCTACCATCAATATCACCCGCGACGAACTCATCGCATCCCACTATCCCAATATCCAACTAAACTTATAACCTTAACAAAAACTTCCAGTCCCAGTCCAGTAACTACCATATACTCAATTGGTATAACGTCAATTGAACAATTAATTTTGGGTAATTTTTAGTTTGTCTGGGAGGTAGGGAGAATCTCAATCTTGATATTGAAATAATTAAAAGGGATGGGATCAAGATTAAAAAATACACGAACGAGTACAGTAACCTTAGTTTTCTAATCAAATCAAATTAGATCAAATATAAAGTTGGAGCGGCGGGGAAGGCGGGGTTCTCTCCCGGGACAACAGCCGCGACCGCGCGTTTGTTTGTTTGTTTGTTTGTGGTAGGTATCACAATAATAAGATGTTTATTACAAATCTCTACATACCTATATAATATAGAATAGGGATATAATTATTCTTTACCAGCTGTTTCAAATATTAGGGTTTCATCAGTTACTATACAATAAATACAAAATATACTCTATTTATCTATAAGAAATCATTACAGCACTCTCGAGATAACAGTTGATATAAAATTATAATATAATAAGTTTATGATAATAGTATAATTAATACAATACATCTATGAAACAGATGAATACAGATACCAAGGGGATGAACAACCAATAAACAAATGTAAAGCAAAATCTCCTCTCCCATCCATGGATAACATAACCCTTTCTTTTTCGTGGAAAACATTGATCAAAAACATTGATATATGATTCTTAAACTTTGGCCCCATTGAAAAGAGATATATTTCTCTCTTAATCTCTGTGGAACTCTTGAGCACACATCTGTGTCGGGGAATAATATCGACGATGCTTGGAAAAAACAAAAACAAAAATGAATGATACCGTCCGAATCATCGTCTAACAGTGGTATAAAAATGGTATCCGCCCCCCGGCGATTATCTCAAGGATATCGCTGCTGAAGATTTGCAGTACACGTACGCCTGAGCCAACAACCACCTGTAACCAGTATCTATCCGCCTACGCCGGTAGCACCCGTAACCCATATATACATACATGTATTTAAACAATTGAAATGAAAGTAAGGTCTCGTGAAACCGATGTATCAGCCCCAAAGTAAATACCTCATCCCATAAAAGCCTTTTCAAATAACCAAAACGAAGATAACAAAGCTTCCTACTAATATGGAAGGGACGCCAAAGGAGCAATCATAAGACTTTCCTCGGCGAAGACGCCGGATGGACTGTCGAAATATACAGTGAAATTGTGCTTGACCTCCATTGTTGCGCTCAATGTTGATTTGAAGGAGCGTGGAGGCGGAGAGGAGGAGAATTGTGGCCAAGTGATGAGTGGTCCGATTTCGATAATGGATGAGAACATCGAGGTGATAGACTGGAATGTCTATACTCCGTGTGGAGAAGGCCAACCTGCATGAGAGTTCATGAGGTAGTGAGCATGGCCGGTGCTAGCATTACCCGGCGAGGTTTCCATGCTTTGAGTATATTGATTCGCGGCTTGTGGGTTATATGGTTGGCTAGGCGGCAAGGTTCGTTGCGCCTGAGGATAGCCGTGAGAAGAATTAGGTGTATCCCTTGACTGGTAAAGATTTGTAGGAGAATAAGTAGTTTCATTGAAGTTTCTCGAGGCAATTTGACTCTGGGAACATTCCAGCCATGCCTGATACTATATCGGGTACCCCTGAGCCAAGCGGTTGCTGGGCCATAACTCGTTGGTCGTTGAGCAAGCGGTGGTCACATTCATGTTAGGGTTGGAATTGTGGGCGCTGATGTCTGTAAACATAGTTGTATGCTTCGGTTTTGGTGCATCGTACATGGCCCGGGACTTGTGCGAACCGGAGCATAAGAAAGAGCCACCATTTGATCCCCGACCACAGGAATTCCCCGTGTTGTAAGACGTGATGGTATTTGGGCTCGGTCCAGAAAAGAGGTGTGTTGTATGAAGCCCAGCAGCTGAACTTTACTGCAGGAACGCTTGAGTTATATGATGCGATGTTTGTATGATGAAGGGGTTGACATTCATTTGGTAAATGGTTGAGGGGGAAATTGTTAGATTGATAGGGCATTCCGTGAGAGGATGGTGCGGGTAGTCTCGGCGCATTTCGGTTTTGGTAAATAATAGTCGCCCCGACCCGAATTATTATGAAATGCTGAGTGATTTTCACGTACGTCGTCGTCTTCGCTCAGAACGTTGGGATCATCAAGAGGGTGCTTGTAGCTTTTGCTAAGGACAATATCCCTACGTGGCTTGAGGTGCTGGAATCGAGGTTCAGCTCGTGGAGTTGAAAGTCTACCGGAGACGACATCGTCGATCGTGTAATAAGATACAATGTGGTGAGTAAGGTCTCCTACACTTATGGTGATTGTCTTCTTGATAAGACAAACATCATCCTCCTTGAAGTCGTACGAATCAACTAGCGAACCGACCAGTGATCGTTCCATCTCTTTGTTTAGTGCTCCATGCATAGAAGAGAAAACGCGACTTGTGTTTACTCCAGGAGCACCGCGTTTCTTTTGAATGCCCACTCTCTTGTCTTTCGCCGTGGCTCTCTTCTTCTCTCCTGGCGCAAATGGTTTATTCAATTCTCGATAGACAAGAAAGTTTCCTACCATACGACTTGGACTCCATGTTATACCATCAGTCCATCGTTTTACCCCGGATGAGTTTGCTTCGTGTATGAAAATATTTCCGCTCTTGATGAGTTCAGGTCTTTCCTTATCATGAGGGCGACGGGCAAGATGGTTGAGGGTTCCTGTAAAGCAAGCTTCGAGAAGGATGGCTGCATCTTGTGTGTTGCCAATGTACCCATGCCAGGTCGGCTCGAGGGTACCATTTGTTGCGACTGGCATGGGCATGGGTATGGAAACGCCGGTTGATGCCATCGTGCAGATTGATCTGGTACAGTGTAGAGTGTGATAGGTAGATTGTAGTTATGTATCAACGACAGGAAGGCCAAGGAAAGGAATGGCCGACGGGAGAAGATGGTGTATGTAGCAGCGCCGTGTGGTGATAATCCCTTGTTTGTTTCCTGGGCAGTAATTGGATACCAAATAGCCAATAACGAATGATGACAGTGGATGTTGAATATATCGAATCTTCAAAACCTTCGAAGAAGTTAGGGTGGGAAGAGAGAGGAAAACTAATAGTTGTCCGCTCCACACTACCCGACTACAACGACTTAGAGATAAAGTATAAAATGATTGAATAAGGCTGAGAATAAAGTATAATGGTTTGAGATATTAGAGTTATGAGGCTAAATGACTGTTCCGTGGTAATGGATCTTTGGAGTCGTGAGGATATTCAAATGTTCTTGGTGTTGGGTTGACGAGTTTATACATAAACGAATTAGAGCTTGGGCTTCTCGTTATACGTTCCGAACCTCTTTTGAAAGTTGATATCCGGCGGGTGAGAGAAGAGGATGATTCTATTCTGAATACGATTGAGGGAAAGGATTTCTTGTTTTCCACGAAAGCAAAGTTGGGTTAGTCGAGGAAAGACGAAGCAGGAAAGAGCAGGAGACAAGAATAGAAAGAAGTAATTGAGGAAAAAGATAGAAGTTGTGGGGAGAAATTGAGCTAAAATAGCAGGTGTATATTGACATTACTTAGTAGCCAAAGGGAAAAGCAGCGAATTTAACGCTTAGCTTAAGGAGGGAAAGAGGTCTGAAAAGTGGAGTTTGTAACAAGACGGACTTTTCTAATGATTCCAGACTACTTTGGTATTTGGTAGGTCAGGCATTAAAAAATGATTATTTTGTACAAGTCTCTGATTTCAACGAAACCAATTTCGTCCTAATCTGTAATGCATGGTAGCGCGGGCGGAAATCGATGTTGGTGGTTGAAAGTTAAGAAGTGGACATACCAAGACTTTGAAAAATCTGCTAGGTATGACTTTTGTATCCCTCCTAGTGATCACACATCTGTGCATCACCAACATGGGAGGGGGGGTCCGGCTATTTTTCGAATGGTTCATCGCCGGTACTAGCCTATGGAGCAGAGCATGTGTATTCGGATATAAAGCTGTGTTGCACTTATAGAATGCAGGGACTCATGATCAGGACTACCTGTGGCCCTGGCGTAGGTTTCCAAAGGAGTCCAAGTCTCCCAGAATAATACATCTAATGATGAATCAACAATCATGAAGGACGGGTGGTAGGGTCTAGTCATTAGTGCTTGGCCTAATACGCTCGCCTTGGACCAAGTCCCTACAAGCGTATAACAGCGTGCCCATGATGGCAATGCATTGCGCTTTCGCTCATACCGGGTGCTGGGGTAAGAGATCATTGGAAGTGGGAAATCTCCGTAGAGCGAGGCATCATGCCTGTCCTCTGCAGACTTAATTTCACACAGAACACAGCTGAGTAATTTAACTCCAATATCGATGGGCAAGGTACGAGCGATGGTTAGCCTGGCTGTCTGCAAAGGATAAGCAGCATGGACTCATAAGGAGCCGATGTCGTTATACGAGTAACGACATATCGGCGGATTCGGACATCTGAAGACGGAAATATCGTGGAAGCATGTTACCGTAACATTCTATAGATGAACACTTATGTCATGAACAGATAACAATACAAACTCTGCGCTTGAAAATGCTTGTGGGATTAGACATGCCACCATGTTTCCTGCCGGTGGCAGTTACCGGTCTCAAGAGACATTAGTTTGAACTTTGAAGAAATGCTTGATATCTACCGTACTGCTATCCTACAACTTAAAGCTCGCACTATGTCTCCTTCAAGTTCCCTTAGGAAGTGTCAAAGATACTGATTAGGTTACCTCACGAAAGTTCATCCAGCACTATCTAAGCTGATACTTCTACTACTCGACTAATCCTTGCTGTCCATATGGTCAATTTCTCAAAGCTCAAGGAGTGGAGGGCATTCCAGTGGAGAAAGATGGAATTTCCCCTCGACTTGTCACATGTTCATGGAAGACAAAATTTGGTAGCATTAGTACATACATGCATTCTGCTACTGGGCGTTTTGTTTCAAGCAAGTTGAAACACCTTGTGCGGCTCCAATCAAAATAATAGTCAAACTGTAATGGAAAGGAAGTTTGGTTTGTCCAAACTCTATGAAAGGATCCCCATCGATAAGTCTGCACGGTTCGGTATCCAAGCCGTAGCAGATCCTACGTCTGGAATCTAAGCATACATGATCGGACTCACTGGATAGAACAAAAGATAATTGAGCCGAAGGCTTTCGGTAAGGAGGTGCCACCATATGAACGTAAATGCAGGTCATTGTTTTCTGCCCTGGAAATTATCTCTTCGGTTTTTTTTTGTGCTTGAGAAACAGTGGACAACGACTGTGCACCCAAGGGGGACGGTGTGTCCGACTAGGGTGATTATATGTCCGACGGGGCTAATTATGAGTTGGTGAAAGAGTTTGGATTGGGCTTCTTGAAAGTTGTTGTGTCCAGTAATGGTCCTCACCTGGTCCTTCAAATCATTGGATGTCACTGCAGTCTACGATGGTGAGTGCAATCCAGGTGCCAGCTGTACTACACACGACCATGAAATAAAAATATATCCAGAATTCGGGGCATCGGATGTTATATACACTATAGCGAGCTTTCTAATAATATTATCCCTTTTACCGAATGTGCTACAGCTTAGTGTTTGGGTTACAGTGACTTCATCACATCGATTGCCAAAAACCCGGATTTTGTAGCCTATTACCACAATCAAAGCGTAGCTATCTATGTTTTAGGCACTGCCTAGGCCTTTGCCACAGGTATCTAGTGTGATTTAGTGGTTGTTTGGTGTATTAGAGTTTCCATTCTGGAAATTCTCATGGGCCTCGAACCAAAATAGTATGCATAGGTACCTACCACACAGAAATATCCGAGCATCGACTTTGAAATTGACGGTGATCACTAATTTGATTTGACTTTAGAGCTAAAGAATTAAAATACATTTTCCCGTTCCCTGAAATCGACTTCTAGTATTTGCATGAACTTCACGGTATCTTTAGAGAAGAAGTCTGTGTGGTCCTCACTCAGTATGGGTTCAAATACGCACAAGCATGCGTTTACTTCTCCGCGTTGCAGAAACGGGCTGTTGGGTATTAATCTTGTGCTTTTTGGACATGTAAAGAGATTTGGGTGAAGGCCGGAGGAAAAGGCTAAGTGATTAGTGATACCGATGCGGTGCTATAAAGTGATCGTCGTTGCCTAGTTGCTTGTTCTGTCGAGCTATCTCAAGAGTATCGAATAACAGGAGTCTCTCGACGGTGTGCGAGGTTGAGAGCTTGAGACTAGTGGTTCGCCATTCGACTAGTCTTTTAGGAACACACTTATAAAAGTACTATGCAACGCCACCTACCTAATGGTGCTTACATCACCCAGGTTGTGCTGAAATACAGTAATAATGTGCGATTATGCGAGTGCGTAAACGAACGATTGACGAATCGGATTTGGCCCATGCAATTCGGAAGCGGTGTTGCAATTGGCCCCGGATCCTTTCACGACAGTGCAGATAGAGGCAATCCAGACCGCAAAATGCTGCCAGTGTCGGTACGGTACCGAGTACACATACACTTACTCAAGAGTCAAGAGGTGGGTTGTAAAACTTTTCTTGATTTCGTGGTGTTCTACTTCCTCGAGCTTTATCGAATAGACTAAACAAATCGGTGCGAATGCGAGTCATAACGAACGTCCATCAGACCATCTCTCCAATAGTGAGTGTAGTTACACTGTAGTGTATTGAACGGCAGGAATGAATTGAGCTATGGAATTGATCATCAGATTCATCGAAGCCCCTCGGAGTTAAAGCAGGTAGCTCAACGCATCGATCATTAATCCATCGAAGCCTAAACTCATCATCGGTTCATCTTAGTCCGGTCGACAGGAAGGAAACATATCGATTGACTTTCCGCGCTTGACACAATTGGCGTGGTATGCATGGGTAAATCCCGAGGGGCTCATACGATTATGTCCACGGCAAGATGCAACAATTTTAATTGCAGCCCGCCAGCAAACGCCAAGCCCTATTCGAGGTGGTATTTTGTTAGATAAATTGAAAGGGTTATCGATGCTGCGAGTCTGCGACAAAGTCTTCACTCCTTTTCTTCTTCCCCTGCTTCCAAGCCCATCAATTGTCGAGATTGAAGATTAACAATCGGCCTAAATGTCCACCTATGACAGATCCTGCATCGTCCCAATCGAGCAAAGTGCCCTGAGAGCCAAGGCGAGTAAATTAATGCACATTTCCAGTGATTCTATTCGTAGATATACGCAGTGCCAATCTAGCGAAAATTTCAGAATTGACCGAAAGTTCCAGGCGGAGCCGTGATCACACTTGAGCCTAATCAAGATTTGAGTCTCATATCTCTTCATGGGTTGATCCTAGATTAGTGGGGGGTTGTCCACATTTCATTTCGCACCAGATTTCAGTACCGACTTTGACCACAACTACCGTACAATGAACTTCAATACCCCCGCTAAATCTTGTGGAACATTGGAACTTGGCTATTGCTACAGATGCTCTCACTTGAGTGGTCCTTGGTGAGATCCGCTTCTCTCAAATTTAAAAGAGCAATTTCACTGGACGGCAGACGCTTTTCTCTAATGAGTCCTGTGTCAAGCGCTGCACCCTTGCTGTTTCCGACGTGGGAGTGCACAGCTGCCCAACGGCAGAAGTGGGCAAGGTGGAAAGTGGTACGCGCAGATTGATCGGCATTTATGCCAGTGAAGATCGCCAATCTCAGGACTGACTACTGAGTAGACGGAGACCGGTTTCGCCGTCTTTCGAAACGACTCCAATACCCTATGGTGGTTCTGGGGAAGAAGTGGTCGTGTCCACGTCAAGCAGCTGCAATCTTACGAATCCTTACCAATGATGCTCCAAAAGTGTCTCATTGAAATATGGTACGTGAACATAATGAATGTCCTTGACGGTGATAAGTGGGCTTATTGTTTGTAATACCATGAGGTGAGGAGGGCGGCCGATGAATTGACCAAGTAGGGCCTGTAAGCGAATACACCTGAGCAGGGAGTCTGCCTGGTTAACACGTTTTGTCCACCATGCTATCCTTAACTGTGCTATTAAGGAATTTGGACATTGGTGCGGATAAAACAATGGACGAACGTCTCAAAATTCATGCTATACTATTTTGTCAGTACTGCACTCTCGCAAGAATGTCCCCAATGCAATTCTTCTCAAACACAAAGAGATATTTTTGGCACCGCGGACAATGTGAATGACTCCATGCTTGCTTCTCGTGCATAATGCGATCGTACCTGGAAAATACCGTACAAGGAATGCTATGATGCCCATTATGAGGCTGTGCAAGACGGTGATGCTGGGCCCACCTTAGTAATCATACACCGATCTTCAGGATGCGATGAGAAGGAAGCCATGAGAGATTACTATTCGGATGAGATCAATACGAGATCAAGGTCCCCATGGGATGTCGACAGCGTCGGCAATGCAGATCCATTGCCGGTAGAAGGATTCTGGGAGGGGCTCGCCTTGTTTTCGCCCCAAAAATATCGTAGATGATAGAGGGCGGTCTTTGTTCACCGTCCTCAGGAACTGGCACATTGTTGTCTGGGCAAGGGTTCGGCATGATGCGACCATGGAGTTTATTCGTTGTTCCTGTCAGGCATAATACTGGCTTAAAGTTTCTCCGCATTTTCTCAAAGTCAGGGGTCAGACTTCAAGGCGGAACAATAATTATTGACACTACCCTACAAACACGTTTCATGAAACCTTGATCCCCAGCGGTTATGGCTGTTGCTTTCTGCAGATCTGCACATTGAACTAACTGTATGCTTATCATAAAAGAGTTATATCGAGCAATTTCTAACACCCAACGGCACGTGGCACACGGCATACCGCAGTCGAAACCAAGATCTTTCTACAACGCCAGCGCACGCTATAGGAGCATATCCTCCATTCACGAATTCCACCTTGGGCTTAGCATTCGGGAGGCTCCATTAGGGAAAAAATCGCACCGGAAGATTGACTTGATTAAGGACTTTCGTCGTAATACCAGGGACGTTTCGATCCATACATATTGCCCGGGAAAACCATGGGCACGGGGATGGACCCATCAAATGCATCCATGGACGGTATGCCCGCTTTAGTGACAGCAGCTGATGTATTCAGATCGGTGAAGGGAACGGAAAACAAAACACCGCATTCCCAATTTCTGCAATTCAACTTAGGCTCTTTTGTTACCCGGTCCTTCACCATGCGGCCCCTTTATTGGGTTACGTTAGCTGGCAGTCCGCGCTGGGGGGTATTATCTTGCTATAGAAAAAATTGAAAGGGAGGAAATTATAGTGTGGAAACATAAAAGACTTGCCATGCACTTTCGGATAGATTTGCGCTTCCAACATATGCCCATGCGATAGGTCGTGGATTTGGTTGGGTCTTTTGAGATCTCACGAATATCATCTTGTTGTGCATCAATAATCCTTCCCTACGACTGTGACAGTCGCGCATGAGGTGTCTTGGGAAACTACTTGCATCGTACCATTTCGATCGAAAACAAATCGTGCCAGCAGCCTGTGAATCGCAGAGTCAGTGAATGACATTTAAGATCCTTATCGCGGCATGATCATTGGAGTTTCCATACATTCGTACCACCCTTGCTTTCTGCAACAGTTTGCTTGCTGTATATGGGTATTAAATGACCATTTCTGAAATGCAGGGTTGAAAATATACCTAGGAAAATACACGCGAACGCCGCGTCCAATTTCTTCGGAGAGCTGTCTCTCCATCACAGTGTCCGTTTTGCACCTTGTGGGCTTTTGGGTTCTCCACTTGTATTCCTTGTATCCATTATCGCCTAGTACATACATATCATGATTCAGCCCCGTTTAGCGAAGGAAAAAAAACGACCAGACAAAATTGTGTGCTCGTATAAGAACCCAGACTTTGATTTATAACCTGCCTTATCACGCGGATAACAACACCCGCAGGGTTCCTGGGGGAAAGTTCGGAAATGATGCAGTTGTCAAAATGGCATGCTTACCTTGTGCTGCTAGATATATTGTTCCGAGAAATCGGTCATCGAGGTTACCGATAGACGCTGTCTGTTCGGCTTAGTATCCAATGGAAACGTTATATCTTGTTGAATGAGTAGCTTACTACAATGTCAACCTCCAAAGGTTGGTCCGTCTCCAGCCCAAGGCTGCTTACAGATCTGCCAAGTCCCGGATATCCGGTTCGTAGCAATTCCGTGCCAGAATGAGACCCTCCACTGATCGAGGTTAGATGTGATTGATATTGAAGGATTTTGGAATGGACAGACATGGAATGTACAAGTGCTAGATGAGCCGTATTAGAATAGTCGAAACTTCTGAAACTCGCAATCATCTTAGGTGGTAATGTCATAGCTTCCAGAAAGTGCAGCAGTTCCTTTGCGAATGGTGTCAATTGGTCGTCAGAAACTCTCTTGCCATTCGGCAACCTTGGCAGATCAATCAAGAATACGACCTCATCATCTTGTGTTAGTGCAGTCCTGAGGTGACAGTGAGCCACTCACATTTTCCATGATCCCGCCGCTCTCTCCCCAATCGTATGGCGTCAAATTTGCCGAGGGTATGACTAGTCGTAAATGCGTAGGATGCCCCAAGAGTTGCAGTTTTGAATGCATTAGATTAACGTTGCCTTCCATAGGGGGAAAGCAAAATCGATAGTTGTCTGCCGCTGATGATTTCCAGTTCAGTTTCTAAGAGTTATCAGCCAACATGGTACTTGAAGCACAGTGCTTATTTTCCACCCCCATGATTCGCAGAGTGACAGGAATTGAGATACTGGTGGTCTTGATGCCGGATTCTATTTTCAACTGCCAGTCAGACCTGGTAGTCTTTCATATCTGGTAGCTTAAGAACTTTTGCGCATTGAATGTTCTAAACCAAGTTCAATGTTACAAAGAAGAAATCCAAGTAAAACTCGATATACAGCATGAATGAAGTGTACCGACCGACAGACTGTTATTGAGATGCAGCGTGGGACCATTGAAGGTGCCGATCGAACTGCATGAACTCTTTGCAATGTCGAGATGGGTTCTAGCGGAGCACCAAGCAATTTCTGATACCCAAATTCAATCCAAAGTAGCGCTGACCGTTTATGGTCGGTCGTATGACCCAGAAATTTCGAGCTCATTTGATGTCCTCTCATGCACTCTGCTTTTTTGTGTTAAAGTAACCACTTTCTTTAGGTTCGTTGTACAATAGGAGAATTGTGTACAACGTAACGCGACCACATCGATACTGTTACAGGTTTGGAGAGAGAGAAGAGAGAATAGACACGCTGGGAAATGATACTAAGGAAGATTTCCTGGTATCAATGAAGATAGATCAGAACATTTTTACTTACTTCGGCTTCAGACTTTGCTTGTAAGACCCAAGTAACCTTTGTAGTTGGCAAAATCTTCGATGCAATCCAATCAGGTTCTATTTGAAAGGCGCTCATTACAGCAAGTTCAAGGGTTGAAGGTTGGAGTACCTCTTCAATCTTGATGTCATCCTCTCGCGGATACCCATGAGCGAAGGTTTTTTTCACAGCCCCGAAAGGGAATTGAACACCGATGTCCGAGACTTTACCTCGTCGCTTATGTTTAGGTAGCATCTGAGGGATATCGGAACTTGCAATGGCAGGCTCGGAGTCTGGTTCTACAAATCCCTTGGATAAATCATCGAGTGCGTTATTCATGCCTTGCCTTATGGGGCTCCTGTCTGTAGACTTTTTCTGGTGGCCTTCGATTGTCTTGTTGCAGGTTATCGACTCTGGTCGAGAGAATTTTGATTGATGGCCTTCACTGAGTGAAGACGTCGGTGACGAAACCGGTGCCTTTCTTTTCTTAGAAATGACATCTGGGGCCTTACTCCTCTGCTGAGTTCTTGCTATGCGTTCTTCCTCCATCTGCTTACGATTCAAGCCATTAAATAGTGTGTTGCTTGACTGGCTGGACACTGCAGATGGAGTCAGGATCAGGATGATGTATTATTCATTCTTCGGTGTACGAACTACACTCACCTTGTAAATTGGTGTTCGGTTTGACATCCATACTTGTATTAGGAATGGAATTAAGCTGTGAGACCTGGAAACGTGTCGTGACAGGCGCATCAAGGTCATCATCGTCATCTGAAATAGTGAGATCGATAAGCTTCCTTTCACGGATTGTCGGTGATGAAGGTTGTTCCAAAGATAAGGCAATAGCTCTCTTTAAGTCTTCGTCCATCTCCGAGTCGGACATGGCTGTAGCATTTATAGGAATTGGGTGCAAACGAGTATTTCTGATAGTTTCAATATGAAATTTTCTTGTGGCAGCGAGAGCGAACAAGTTATGTATCAAAAACAAAAGAGGCGAGGAAGGTTCATCAATATCAGAAAGCTTCCGGGTCGCTTATAGCAACAAGCAGAGAGGCGAGGAAACAGTGAACGAATGGATCAGGCAAAGAGGCACAAAGATTAAGAGTTTCACTTATTATCATTTCAACCGTACATAGGTAGCATGAGATAACCAATCTCGTAGCAAAATGACAAAAGTTCCTTAAAAGGATTGTGTATGAAGGAAATGGACAGTCTTTTGTTTGTTTTCAACAGAGGATTGAGGTACGAAATGAATGTTTCCGCACTCCGAAGCTGATCCTTGCTATTTATTAATAGCTTGCTTTGGATAAGCTTATCAATATAAAACTTACAAATGACATAATCATTGACGTTATTCAAACATCCAACTTCTTGTTGAGACATTCAGCCCTAGGTATATAGAGAGATAGGGAACGCGTAAAGGTGTAAGGGCATTATCAGCTCCCAAGGACTCTTCAAACACCCCACCGGACGTCACATACTTAACAGACTCCAAAGAATCAATATCTGGAAAAAGAGAGAAAAGCATACTCGAGTACTCTACTCTGTATATAATAATCTCAGTGATACACGGCTTCCCGACGGCCCCATAATGTCGGTCCCGAGATGCGGGTCCCGACATCCGACCTTAGTCTACGGAGATAAGAATACAGCGAGCTTAAATAAGACTTGAGGGCAACAGGAATTTCATTAATAGCATTATATCATCATCTTTGTTTTGCTACACCTTTCTCCTTATGTTGTTGCATTCATTTTGTAGGTCAGTTGCACCTACTTCTTTTCGGTACGCTTCTTTGAGTACTCGTTATGTTTCTCAGACTCACAAACCTCCACCATTCCCTACCATCCCAAAATGCCCCTCTCCAACATGTTCCTGCGCGGAGAACCCCAAGATGCCAGAAGGCTTGGAGATAGATCATTCAAAACCACTCAACGGTACCATGGCGGCATATGCCGAACAGGTTCTAATATGCACGGGAAAGTCAGATTGGCCTTCTCGTATTGAGGAAGACAATTCAGGAGACAACCTCGCTGCAGACATCAAGGAGTTGATGGGTCGCGGTGGAATGTATAGTGATGTAACAAGGACGATATCGTACGCTCAGTTGAGGTGGTGCTAACAGGTCATAGCCTTATAACAATGTTTTGATTACGAATGCATCCTTTCCTTCTACCATCGCCTCACAAAGACCCGAAATTATAACGACATCTGCGTACATAGTACCGTCCTTCAAATATATTCCATTCCTTCCACGGGTCTCTTTCGATTCTGTGCAAGCTCTGGTAAAAGGATATCTACTTCCAACGAAACTGGATGCTGCACATGATAGCATATCTCCCATACATAAGGATCGTTTGCGGCGGAATAAGGAACAAGCAAAATATCTGCCTGCTGTAAAAGATGTGAAGGATATATTGATATTGATTTGCGGACACGGAGGACGAGACATGAGATGTGGAATCCTAGCTCCAATCTTGCAAGCTGAGTTTGAAAGAGTTCTGCCGACGAAAGAAGTGCAGGTCGCGAAAGGTGCAGTGGAGGTGAGCGTCGATAGCTCTACAGAGCTCTTGGAAGGACCGAGGGAACCGAATACGAATACTGCAAGAATTGGGTTAATAAGTCATATCGGGGGACATAAATTTGCTGGAAATGTCATATTATACATTCCACCTGAAGCTAAGATGAAAGATGGTGAAGCTCATCCATTGGCAGGGTGTGGAATTTGGTATGGGAGGGTCGAGCCGAAACACGTAGACGGTATCGTGCAAGAGACATTATTGGAAGGAAAGGTCATTGAAGAAATGTTCCGCGGTGGAATTAGACAAGGCGGTGAAATTTTGAGGATATAAGTGACGCGATTATTGGTGGTGTAGACGAATGACAACATAGGAATGGGGATATAGAAAGCATCTTCACAGTAGGTAAGATTTCAAGGCAGAGAGGGATGTGCAACACATGATCCGGAAATGCGTCCACTCATGGAGACGAGAAAACAGGATTGTCCTCTTTCCAACGATCGAGAAGTTTTACTCATTTTTGATCATGTCATCGAAACCGATGCAATGCGAAAGGGAAAGCAGAGGGCAAAGGGGATCAATCATCTCGCGAAGCAGATTTTGGCTCCAAGGCTTTTTTATCAGCAGACTTCGATAAGTGCAAAGGCCAAATAACGTAGCACAATGAGGTGACATCGTTAGTAACGCATAACTCACAGCCAGCATCCGAGGCAATTACTATACGCGTGCATGTGAAGATTAGAGTGTGATCGAGATGGAGATGTAAGATCTCGATCTTCCATCTTCATCGAGCGACCATATAGCATCGAGCATCGAGCATTCTTGAACAAATGGATCATGGAAGCATGCAATTCTTTGGTATCAGGCTATTCAGCATGGAATTTCTATCATGCCGTTCAACAATTTTCAGTAAACACGGCTCACGAGGTACATTAATAAGTGGGCTATTTCGTTTGGCATTCAGAGTAGAGCGTTCCAGAAACTCCTACTTTTCTTCCAATAACCAAGTATTTTCATTTTTATATACAAATGAAGTATTGACCTAATTCCAATGAGGAACTAGTGGTTCCTGCACTCAGCTGAATAGCGGGGGATCTTCCATTTTTTGCCATGCGGATAACATCGGAAAGGGAAAACCCGCATTTGTTTGATGGGAAAAGTTGGTCAAGCCACAAAGCGTCAGGGCATTTCTCATCTACCAATCATATTTTATAAAATCACTACTTGTATCACTTATGGCTCAACTTTTATGGATTGCTTAACCACACCCTTTTTTAGTTCATACCAAACTATGCAAGGAAGCCATTAATGTCGAGATTTGATTGGCTAAAAAGACCCTGGTTCCTGGTTCCTACGTCATTGTAAACGAACTGAAGCTCAATTGTTGTAGCTGTGTTCCTAGCTAGTAGCGACATTCTATGTAGCAAAACAGCAAATGCAGCAAAACAAACAAAGCTCTTTCTCTTGTTAGAGAAAATGCTCCTCCCCTTTGAGTGCTTATTCATGATAACTTGGCAACGAGCAATTTCGCAAGTATGACGCACAAGAACCATCAGGGTAAGAATGAATGCGGTCTTAGCTTCATGTTGAGGGCAAGAAAGTAGAATATATAAACCTCAACCTGTCCCTCTTCGTCTCGATTTCTTTTCCATCAACATTACAACTCACTACTCTACACTACACTGCAACAATCCAAACAACTTCAACTAAATCTTCAAATCAACACTACAAAACTTTCAAAATGGAGACCGTCAAGGCAAGTCTTTTCCTGCTCATGATCTGATGATCCCTTCTCACTTTCTTCGCATCTTCTAACATTTTATCCTACAGAACGCTGCCAACTACGTCGCCGAGACTGTTCAAGGTGCCACTGCCACTACCTCCAAGGAGGCCAACAAGCAAGTCGCCAAGGACAGTGATGCCAGCCTTTCCACCCGTGCCAACGCCGGTGTCGATGCCATCAAGGACAAGGTTGATGAGTCTGGACACAACACCAAGGCTGATGTCCACAAGGGTATGTTCTATATTTCTCACCTTTTACATCTCCATAGTCACATACTAATTCTTATCACAGAGGCTGCCAAGCACTAAATTCTTCAATTCGATGGATCTCGCAATCTGCATTCGATCATAATGAATTTGGCGTCTGGGATGGACGGGAGGTTCTCTGGGGAGGTGATGAGCCTGAAACTCATGTATTAGTGGTCTCAATACCCTCATAACAATAACGATGCTTTTATGAATAATGAAAACAAATTTGTCTTCTATTTTACATTTGTGACTTGCATATTATGCATGTGTGAAAATTTCTCGATAATCGGTACGAATTCTGATTTCGTCCAAATTGTGGCTAATGAGACAATCGTGGATCTAGTCATGAGATGAATAATCATGGCCTATGCAAGTACGGGAATTTTTCCAACTGAGAGATCTTTCCATCAGGGGCAATTCTCAACCAACTTTGTTTACTTTGTGGTGGGGTTGTGTATGACGTCATCAGGGGAAGGCACAACCCGCTCGGGTAGTCACGTTCACGGCTGGCTTTAGTTACGGATTAAAGTCAAGCCGTGAAGTGGCCAAAGCTTCATTTCCAGCTGAAGCTTCCAATTTTTGATAGACCAATAGTGGAAAGAGAAGTATGAGCTGTCAATTGGCTTCAGCCATCTTTATATTATGATATTTACCTTCAAAAATCTACCCGTATTCTATTTTTCAAATCTCCGCAGTTCAATGAGTTGAATTCAAGCCTATTAATCCTCAAATCCCGTCTCCATTGGCCATGTCCTTAATAATGGAGCACATAGACCAAACTACCATTCTCTCCCTCCTCGGCGTTGTCGCCATTCTCCTCTCCTCCTACATACTCTCTATCCGCGTCCTAAGTCCTAGCATCCCCTCCTCCCTCCGTATCCTCTTCATCTGGCATTTCTTTGATTTTCTCATTCACACCATCTTCGAAGGTTCATTTCTCTACAACTGTTTTTTCTCCAGCGTTCCCTTCGATTCGTCGATTGCTCATCCCGTCGCTCTTACCAATTTCCTGGGCACGAGTCAATTTGTCTATGGAGCCCAGTATGCGGATAATTGGGCGAGTAAATTGTGGATGGTTTATGCGCAGGCGGATAAGAGATGGGCGGGTGCGGATCTCACAGTCGTGAGTTTGGAATTGTTGACGGTGCTTGGGGCTGGTCCTTTGGCGCTTTGGATTTGTTGGGGCATTGTGAGGAAGGATTGGAGGGTTAATTTTTGGATGGTGGTGCTTGCTACGGGGGAATTGTATGGTGGTATGTTTATGAATTTCATTTTTATACTCTTTTTTTTACATTTCTTTCTCCCTTTTCATAGAATTTGGAACGCAGATGCTGATTTGGTGGAATCAATAGGTTTCATGACGTTCGCGCCCGAATGGTTAACGGGAAATCAAAATTTAAACACCAGTAACTTTATGTTTAAATGGGTGTACTTGGTATTTTTCAATATGCTGTGGGTTTTCTTGCCAATATATGCAATGTATGTTGCATTTTACGATATTGGGAATGCGATGCAGGTGAGGAATAGTGTTATCAGCGCCAGGGTTGAGATTATGAAGAACCAGAAACAAGCGAAGAAGAATTGAGGTTAAAAGGGGTTGAAGGGTATCCGAAGAGATGGGATTGGGGTGAGGTGAGACGGATGAGAGATGTATTTCCATGATATCTAGATATTTCGTGTTATTATCTCATATCGTATTTAAATATATATGATATAGAATTTAAATGTATCTTTATCCCCCCAAGTTCACATATTCTCTTTTCTACGAGACGTCGTCTATCAAATCTGTCGGATTTCATTCACTACATCGAAGCGTTTGCGTAGATAGAAAGATACTCCATAGGTACTTAGCTACCATCATATTCATTTACAATGGTTACTACCTATCTAGTGCTTAATACTTGATATCCCGATTCAAAAATCATTATTGGTATATACCTAGTAAGTAAATAGGTGTTTTTAAAATGCGGTGGATGTGATATAGTGTGTGGTTCTGGGTTAAGGAACTCAGTGGACTCTTGAGTATTATATTGTTTGAGTTATTATATTCTAGATAATCTTTTTTAGTTTTATTTGAAATGGGATTGGGGATGGGGATGGGGATTGGTGGTAGAGATTTGAAGTAAAAGTGTGAAGTTTGTTTGGGAGGTAAAATCTTACATAAGAGGGGGATAAGATTGTTTTTGGATTTTGTTGAAGATCCTACAAGTAAAGTAGATTTGGGTTTTTATTCTACTCGAGTATTATTCAAGATTTTGTATTGATATTAGGTGCGTATATTGTATATTTAAAGGGGGATGATATCTAGTAGTTTGAGAGTTGCTTTTTGGATTTTGGATTTTGTTGAAAGTCTGCTAGATAAGGAGGAGTTTCCATTTTCTGCTTGCCTTCTTGTTTGTATAGGCAGCTACTAGGTGGGTTGTATATGCATAGAGTACTCATTCAAAGCTTCATCGGATGCATGTCTCTCTCTCGAGATAGACAGGGCGAGTTTTAACTACTTTTCTATAGCAGCATTTATGGGAACATCTAATGTGATGAATAGCAAACCTATGTGCCTGTCGATCTATTTCTCGGTACTTCATATAAACCAGAGAAAAGTTTAATAAATCGTGATTTGTGAATTGCTCGTGGACAATCGTCTCTACCTCCGTCTGTGTATGGTACTTGTAAAGCATGATAAATCATTGATATCAAACGACCTGGATTGTTCCTTGAGCAGAATAGCGGGGAAAGTCTTCACCGTCTGTCTCATTGAGAATGTCCTTCATGTTCTTTTGCGGATTTCATAACCATACTGCATGTGTGCGTGCGTACACTTTCGTTTTTGTGAAGTGTACCCATTTTCCTAATCGAGAAAATTTAGTCGTTCCTAGTCTCTTCATATGGCTTTGACTGTGAATCCACCCAGTAGCAATCGAAACTAGCAATTATCAAAAACTCTACTTTCGTATTTGAATAATCTATTTATAAATCATCGCCGACCAAATCTGGGGATTGCTTTGTCCAGTCAAGCAAGCCATAAATTCACGGACCCGTTCAAGTGCACGTGATCACATGATAACCTGTTTTTTCAATTTGTGGCTTAGCTCTTCCCCACGGATGATGATCCAGCTCTTCAAGGATCATACACAGCCAAATGCTCCAATTAATGACGTCAGCAAGTCTGGACCAAATCTCTTCGGGATCCGAAGAAATAGAAAGATATTCTAATGATGGAAAGAACGAATGAAAGAAGAGTACCAAGGCTTAATGTGGAATCCTTTGAACATCATGAATATCACTTCTGAACATTGATATTCTCAATTTCTGTTTTGAGAAAAGATGATCGTGACTTGGTGCTTTCGTCCGAGAATCTCTACCGCGGTATATGGCACTGCAATGTGAATAAGAGAAACCTCTCTGGGTTCTGTCTAGAGTATCTCACAAGTACCTCACTAACGCAAGCCCATCGAGACCGACCGTTAACAATTTGGAGATCGAGAACAGCCACAAAGGTCCAAGTACCGAAAGTTTGAATTCGATCAGGAACAAAGAAACGAATGCATATGAGGGCAGAGAGAACAAAGAAAACTCAAACAAAACGAATCGAAAACCAGGGTTTCCGGATAGCTTGCCGGTCTGGGTACTGTACTTGTTATTATTATTATACTATTTGATACTCGAGAGTACAGCGTTCCACTGACGAATGCTTCGTTTACAACTTGTCATCTGCTTGCTAAGTTTGACGACATCATTACGTGCAGATCTTACTATCTTAAAATAGTCATCGTCTCACCCCATATTTTATATCCTTATTTTCTTCAACTTCCCCTTGATTCGATCCACTCTCAATTTTATACCACTCATTTATATATCGAAAAAGAAATATACTTCAAAATACTTCATCATGAGAGGTGGTGGAGTAGCACTCAAAGCCCTTCAATGGTTCCTCCGCGGCGTCGAATTCTGCTGCGCAGCCATTATTCTCGGAATCTTTGCCTATTTCCTCGCCAAACTCTCTACCAATAACTTACCCATCTCCGATCACATCAAAGCCGTCGAAGGTATTTCTGGTGCTGGTTTTGTCTATACAGCTGTTGGACTTGCTCTCCTTTGCTGTCTTGCCGGTTTCGTATTCTTTTCCATCATCGCTATTGTCCTCGATTTCTGCTTCACCGGCGCATTTAGCTATATAGCTTGGGTTACTCGAGGTGGTAGATCATGTACTGGATCGGTGGCTACTCCTCTGGGTAATGGAATTGTCGATACGAATGATAGGACCTCTGGTGTAGGAGCTGGGAGAAATACAAGTCTGCCTAGTCTACGTGATAGTTGTAGATTGAACACGGCTTGTTTTGCCGTTGCAATCGTTGCTGCGTAAGTTTATCCTCCTTTCTCTCGTTATTTTGAGTGCAGAAAAAAGAGAAACTGAAACTTACATTATAATCAGTGTATTCTTCTTCATTTCACTCTTCGTCGAAATAGCCCTCATCAAACATCACAAGAAAGAAAAGGCATTCGGTCCCTCCCCCAACAATGGCTACACAGCTGGTCGATCCCGCCGTAAGTTCTGGCAACGTCAACCAGCCCGCGATGGTGAATACATGGCCGGAGGAATAGCTTCGGAAAAGCCCGACTCATTACCTGCTCATACTAGTCCTGACGATGTGAGGAACTCATACGCAACGGATACGACAATGATGGGAAGATCTCATGAGGGATATGGTTCCCATACAGGATATGGACATAGTCCTGTATCTCCCGTTACAGCTACTCATGGTCAACAAATTAATGGTGTTGATTATCGAACGAGTTCTCCGTATACGGTTCCAAATGCAGCAGAGATGCCCGCGGATGGATATAGAGGGGCTCATCAGTATCGAACTGGAAATGGGAATTTTTAATTGTCATTTTAGGAGTTATGATTGAAATGAAGAAATGGATGGGGAATGGAACGGAATGGAAAGGAAAGAAAATGGATCAGGCAATGACCTATCTACATATTTACACAGCTTATTGCCATTTGGCTGGTTATGTTTCTCCGGAGTTGTCAATCTGTATCTGTCTGTACATATATTTATAATGATACCATGATAGATTTTAATGCCTAATGATTGAGTATCTTGTTTTTATGTAATATTACTATTGTCTTTATATGTGTGCGTATAACCATCTGTAATTTAGGTAATCTTAGCTAAGTCTTAGATACTTATCTCTCTCATTTCTCGCTTGAAATTCCTTATGGCATACCAAAGTAAGCATCTACAGTTCTATCACTGTAAATATGTAAATGCAAACTTAAATCTTATATCAAGAAGTCAGAAGTCAGAAGTCAGAAGTCAGAGGTCAGAAGTCACAATTCTAGAAGTATAGATTGATAGTTTTTGAATATTTATTATAATAGATAAATGATTTGATAGTATAATTTTATTTCTTTCTTTATATATATAAGTATTAGTAAGGTAGGGAAGGTAGGGAAGGTAGGGAAGGTAGGGAAGGTAGGGAAGGTAGGGAAGGTAGGGAAGATAAGATAAATGTTACGAGGTTTGCCGTCTAGATCACGTGGAAGTGCTCTAGGCTCTCGAGGTGGTTTATAACTAGGCGTCAAGCAGGGACTTAAGTAATGACAATAATGCAATTCGTAACTAATAGTAGAGTATACTAAATGATTGATCTTTATCTTGAGCACGAAGCTCTATACAAAGGGAATCCATCTTGATTATATAGACCTTCGTATTCCAACATTGGAGCGAGGGAGCTGGGTGTCACACTCAAGAATACTGGGTAAAGTATCTTGTATTAGAAAATACTAAGCTAAGGAGAAAAGAAGAAGGAAAACAAGAGTAGAGATTGATTGATTGATTGATTGATTGTGTTTATCGTCATAGGCCGTAGGCCCACGCGCCTTGGCGCGTGATAACCTTAGCCATCTATTCCAGTTTTGGACAAATGACGCTCAGAGGAGAAGCCTCTGAGTGGTTTACTAGCTAGCTAGGGGGAGTATTTATATACAATTTAAAGGGGGCTAGGGCAGGGTTTACATGATTGCCTTCGCAGGGGGGGTTTGGGCCGGTAGGCCTTTTGGGGTTGTAATTGTGGTCATCCTCGTCCACTAGATCACTGGCTCTTGATCTCTCTCCCTTCCCCTCATACTATTAAAACATTGTACTCGAAAACCCTTCATCCCTGATCCCCTTCCCGATACCATCAATCCAATTACTCCTTATATACCAGAACGTACTGTAATCGCCCACCGTCAGGATTGCCTCGTCCTCATTCTGATCATCCTGCCAATAGAAAGCTTATGAAGGAGCACCAATCCTCATATAGCGTAACTATAGCATGCACAGGTAGTGGCTTGTACGGGTGTCCCGATTCCGTAAGTAGCATACCTCCGCTGAATGAGAGCAGAGTAAGTTTCGTCATCAGCTCAGGTCCTTCAACAGTACTCCTCCGGTGTTCCCGTATGGAAGGTATATAAATTGTTGTCGTTTCAGTCGTGTCGATCATGGGAGGTATACAGTATATAACATATACGCGTCAAAGATGTCGAGTTGTACTATATGTTCCAGAGGAGTCTCACTTTTAAGAAGTGAGATGATTTCGTGGCGTATTGTCGTAGATGATGGTGTTGTCCTCTGTTTCGTAATAAAGGTAGTGTTGTAGAGAGCGCATTTCGATAATGCAACTGTCAAAAAACCGCAAACGGGTAAAAACGTCGTGATCGGGCGCCTCTTCCTCTTCCAATTACCACGACTCCATCAAATAACTCAAACTTAGCTCTGCAGACTCTCATAAGAGAGCTGGAGGTTCGTAGGATGCACCGCGTACAGGTGTTGAGTCTTCGCATCCCAACAAGAGTAGAGAGTTTTCCTATGATTAAATACAAACGGGGCATGCCACGTGACCCGGAGGTGTGAGGCGTCACACTGGGGAGCGAGATTCGAATCTCGCTCCTTCGCTCCCTCACAAGACTATTCATGTGATCCTATAGCACGTGATAATAGTTTATAATGTTACAAAAATAAAATAAAATAAAATAAAATAAAATAAAATAAAATAAAATAAAATAAAATAAAATAAAATAAAATAAAATAAAATAAAATAAAATAAAATAAAATAAAATAAAATAAAATAAAATAAAATAAAATAAAATAAAATAAAATAAAATAAAATAAAATAAAATAAAATAAAATAAAAAAGATAAGATAAGATAAGATAAATGAGGTAAATAGGATAAGAAGAAAGAAGGAAGTAAGTGGTGTGTGGAGGGATTATGGTTTGGGGATTTCGGTTTGTGGGGGATGTAGGAATATGAGGATATGGAGATTTGAAGATTTTTGGATTTGTGGATATAGGGAATTGAGGAATTGAAGATTTAGGGATATGGGGATTTGTGGATTTGGGGATATAAGGACTTGGGGATTTGGAGATGTGGGGGATGTAGGGAATGAAACGGATATAGGGATGTAGAGGATGCAGTGATAAAATGTTTTGCTTGGAATGATTAATTAGGGTTAGGGTAGGGGATTTGTTTAGTTCGTAGATGGGGTGGATGTGGTGGGTCTTGGGTCTTGGGTTTTAGCTGAAAAAAGGATGAAGGACGGGGAATGGAGAGTAGGGTGTTATTGTAAGCTTAATATTAAATCGATAGGTAGGTGGACAAGGGGAGTGATTCATCTTCAGATTTAGAGTCTAGTGGCTGTAGATTTCTTTCGGAGAAGATAATTATGTTTTGTTTTCGTTTTCTAGATTTATCTTTATTGGGTTTATAGGTGGTGGAGGTATTGGAGGTAATATGGAATGTATAGGATGAGAATGAGAATGAGAATGAGAATATTGTATTTTTGTTAACTCAGTGAATGAATTTATTACTAGTCTTTTTGGATATTTAGAAGTATAATTATAAATTATCATCAATAATAAAGATTATATCTAATGATTTCCTATTCACAGGTAGATACAATATCACCACCTCATTAAATCCATACCTTTTCCTTTGATTTGTCTTAGAGTTATGGTGATTATAAGTATAGCCAGATCGAATCGCCGAGCTATGTGTATCTAATATTGGTTATACAGCAGATCTGATTCCTACCATAATCTTAGGTAGATACGTACGCATAGATAGACTAGTATTCAGATTTTCCTGAGGCAATCTGATACTTCCATCCTGTGGGTGGTATTGAATGGAAAAAGTAAGACTCAAGAATCAAGACTTCTGCCGCAGTTCTTCATTAAATCTCAGAGGGAGATACATAAACTTGGTATGCTTCCCTTATGTGGTTGTTCGATTTTACGCTCATTCTTGGTGGGGATTTTTGTCTTTTGTCTTTGGGTATATATGCTGGGAATGGGTCTGTTGATCATATTAGGTAGTGAGTGAATATATATATGAATGGATGATATGAGACAGAAGGGAGTAGCTGTTTGTATGATTCACACTACTTTATTATCTCAAATCTCACCATACCCTCCCCTCACGTATAGCCTGCTCACACCATATCACTCACTTTCCTGTCACTCTTCAGCACTACATAACCATAACTATAACCAAAAACCCATTCCGCCAGAGAATTAGTAGGACCCGGCATGAAGAAATAGCTGCAGATACTTAGAAAGCCTAAAACGAAGACGATCTATTTCACCGAGGAAAAATAAAATAGTCATGATCATGAATATGAAGATTTGGGATAAGGAATATATATATATATATCCATTCAAAGAGGAGATTAAAAAATTTCGTGGAAGTGAGAAGAAGATCTCTAATGTGAAGATCTCTAGGAACCAATGATGATAAGATTATTTATCCGAATCTAGAATGTAATGTTGAAGCTTGGAAAGGGCAGAGTATACACTGGGATTAGGCGGACAGTAGAGAATGATGGAAGGATAGGGATAGCTATAGGAAAGTGGAATTTGCGGTGTATTTAGAGATTTATATACACTAGGCTTTAGTATAAATCTAAATGATTTATCAAGTTATATGGAAATCATTCGGCTATGAAATACGTGTACCAAATCTTCATTCCGTTCATACATGTCTTCATTGTAGATAAACTATAAATCACTATACTTATTTATTACCAAAAGAGTCCGGAGACTCACCATACTACATCAGAGCCCCCGAAAACTGTATAGCTATTATATTGTTGATTCTGTTGCTCTAGATAGCTTCAGCTCTCTTCTATACAAGCCAGACCTTATGAGACCAGTATGTTTCGCAAGCTAGTTCCATTACTATTCCGATAACAAAGGAGCTAAGTTCTATGAGTTCTATAAAAGAAAGAGAATCCTTAAGATCTCTAACGACTAATCTGGTTATTGAGAACAAGTAGGGATTTAGATGAGAACTTCAAATATACACAAGTAGTGTATGTTGGAGAAAGAAACTAGAATATCTGTAGGAAGCAGTTCGTTCTAGTGGTACGGGTACTAATAACAAACCTCCGAATCAACAGCTCGATCCCGAGCTTCAACCCCCCCCTTAATCTTCCCAATCCCAGCATTAGCCATCACATAAGCCGGAACACCCGAAGCAGCAATAGCAGCAGGAAAACTACTCATCCCCTTCGATTTAAACGAGGAAAAAAAGTCAGTTTTACTAAAAGCAGTAATTTTTCCCGAGCCATCCGCTGCATTTGAGAAGCAAGCACGACCCAGAGAAGCAGAACAAGAAGACTCTGTTCCAGCGACAGCGTTGAAGATGGATCCTCCTGCCGTGGAAGATGCAGCTGTGATAGGCGTTTTGACAGTTTTGAAATAATTTCCCTCCATTAAGACGGCACCGCCTTTAGCGACATCAAAATCATGACCATCGATGCTCGCAAAGTAATTGTTCACTGCGTGCATGTATATAGTACCGCTTCCTCCTACTTTTGGTGCACGACCAGAACAATCGTGGACGTAGTTGTTCAAGAGAGTGATATAGTCTGAGGCACCTAGGAAGAGCATTGTCCAGTAATGTTGATTGTTGCAAGATGAAGACCAAGAAGTTTTGCCATCAAATTCATTGTTGGAAACAGTGACTCTACCAGCGGCTTGGTATCCAGTGACGAGCATTTGTCGACCGATGAGGGAGAATTTACAGTGGTCGATCCAGATTAAATCTGTGCCCGCCTAGAAAAACATTTAGTTTGTGAGACCTGTACATATAAGATGTAAAGCTTACTAATGTGATAGCATCACCACCCCAAATCAATGAAGGGTTAAGGTTGGTAATGTGAATATTTTGAATGATGACATTGGTAACACCCTTTAGATTGAGTCCTCGGCCAACAATTACACCGGCGCTGCCTACCCCTATGATACTCTTGTTGCTCTTGACCAGAATTGCTGTGGTACCAGCGTTGTCGTAGCTGACTGTAGTTTTTGGACTAGAGCCACACCAGCCATTTGCGTTAATGGCATTTTGTCCACTAGATCCACATGTATTGCTCGATGGTATGCATCCAGCCGCTGTTGTGGTGCCCATACTACCACGAAAATCGAAGGTCTTGGTAATAAGAATAACTCGCGGTGATGAGTCAGTAAGGTAGGAGATCAATCTGAAGAGTAGATTAGTTAAAGGTTTCTGTATCAAGTGCACATTTGAAATTACTGTGCAGTTGTAGTAGGCGTAACGGGTGTGGCATTTCCTCCACCAGTAACCTAGACGGTCAAATTTAGTAATTGAAAAATAGGCAGTAGAGTGTAGACTTACCCCTTGAGCAGCACCTGGAGCAGATCCTGTATCATTTGCCCCATGAACCGAGGTGAAGAGCGCGGCGGCGAACCAGAAAAGGAGCGAATACATCATTGCAATGAAGGTGATATCAGAACTCGACCCAGAAATCTGAGGATGAATTGCAATGGATTGTATTTTCGTTCTTCATAGCCGGATGGCATGCTATATACCTTGCTGAGGTTGCGGGGAAAGGGGCTATTTTTAACAATGACTCTATGTAAGATTACAAAGTTTTTGTGAATATATGAACGAAACACACTATTTGCTGAGTTATGGAAATACTATTGTATATGAAACGGAACTATGTATTAGGTAGACTATATAAGGGAGATCACGCAAGGTTGAGCTATTGGAATATCTTCGGGATAAGATTCATATATACACAACTTAACCTTGGCGTATGCAGTCTAGTCTCGTATCTATATTTCAACTTCGTGTACATAGTATCTTGTATGTTTGGTTAAGCAATTGTTATATAATATAGATGCTGTATTTAGTACTAGCGACCCCACTAAGATTGTACTGTATCTTTCACAGCTCCGCGCTGAGAGTGAGATGGGGATTTCCTCTCGTGCGTGTTACCCAGGAAACTCATGATACCTGGTAGAGAATCTTCACACTACTCATATTAGGTATTTGAGAGTCAGACCCGTCTACGCCGATGCTAATGAAGTAGAGTTTTGATAAACAAAGAGCCTGAATTCTAACTATTTTCAGCATCACAATCGCCCCTGCTAGGACGGCCTTCAATTTTTCACATATGGTGCCTGAAGCAACACTAAACACTTTCATGACCGGCGACACATGCCTGCATGCCATCAGCCGCTAACTTCAACAGATTAAGAACCCAATCGAGAGCGCAAGAATTTGTGCCAAAATTTCGGCTCAGTACTCTGCGGGAAGGGAAGAATTTCTCCTTCAATGAAAATTCCAAATCCCCACCACGACCCTGATAGGATCACTATGTAGACTGGATGAAGGAAAAAAGGCTTGCCCACCATTGAATGATATAGGTACTGATTTTGAAATGAAAGTACTCCAAGCAAATGTCATGTTAGGTACAGATATATTGCCTAAATTGAATTTCAATGAGCAGACATACATTCATGAAGATCACTTGACTTTTTCTAGAAAAGAAAAGCCTACATATATATATGGTTGATGTATCATCGTCATATCTAGAACAATTCAGGGAAGAGAATTCTAAGTATCCCATATTGACGAACAAAGAGACTGGGATAGTCGATGTAGACAGTGTATAAACGCTTAAATATGGATCTTCAGACGGAAATTGTAATAGATTCAATATGACGTGTTCACAATAAACTGCTCAACACAGTAGGGCTTGGCTTTGAGTGGAGGAGGGGTGACGAATTGCCAAGATGAAACAATATCTATTTGTGCAAGATATTGACTCATCGTGACGTATAATAAATGGCAAAGTTATTGTTAAGACAGCAACAAGAGTGTCCACAGTGATGAACTTTCATCGCTTTGGATTATATTTTCGTGTGCCAGTCTCCCCATGACTAATGGTTGACACGAGAGATATACCCAATACCAAAGCTTTAGCTCCCAATTCAACATCTAAGGATGTATAGCTGATAGACAGAAGACGAATGATTGCTGATTCCATCGTCAGGAGCCCCAATCCCTGGTTATCTAGGCGTTCGAGTCTTGAGGTCAAGTCTAGGTACGACTCTACGCAGGAGACTATCGCAAGGTGATTCCATATGCAAAATAAGGCTTTCCTTGGAAGATCATGTATGTCAAACAATGATGTGAAAGAGATTCAACCTTGAAGGTAGGATAATAGTAAAGGATCTTCGAAAAGGGAGAGGAATATACATGATCGATTGGCACCTCGATTTGAAAGTGGTCTAGAAACCTAAGCATTTCGGATCTCCTATATTCTTGTCACGATACCTCGCTATTATGCGCAGAGTGAAGTGATTTCTCGAGTCTCGCATAATGGAAACGTGATGATTGAAGATTATAAAGCTGGGAGCGTTCGAATTCAAAATGAAATGAAATGAAGTGAAACCAGCCACTGTAGGGGAACTCACGTGCCAACGTCATTTTCTTCCTCTTCCTGTTTTAGGACTGGAAGTCTATCCACCGATACCGGCCAAGCATTTCATTCTTCTTCAATGGCACGTGACTATGCTTGTGAAGTCAAACCTCAATCGTTCATTCTCATTGTGATATAAGTTAGAGCTTCTCAATAAAATAGCCAATATTGCTACGATTTTCTTACTCTCCACCAAAAGAAGAACGAATTTTAGGGGATCTCATATCATCAACTTAAATATCTTCATTTATAACAACCCTTATTAGATCTACTTTAATAGACGTTCAAGATTCTGGCAGTTCACCTCGGCAAATACGTGAATACGTGCGCATTTGACAACTGTTAAGATTATTTGAGTGTGCTGGCATACGAAAATTCTTGAACTACAAGTCTCCTTTCTTGTGTTGATGTACTGTTTGATTTACGAGAAACATTGATCTTGCTACTTAGACGCTAAATAAATACATTAGTGTATGCGGTAGCCATTCGCATTAGGCTAATTTTTCTTACTGCCACTGTATAAAGCTCAGGCAGTAATATCACCTGTAAATTCTCATTTCTATACCAATGTACTGTCTGAATACTCACAAACCCAATCACTAGATCAAAAATGGTTTTACCACCGCCACTACCCTCAGGACCAATCTATCCGCCCACACTCTCAATATGGAAACGCATAACTTTTGCCATCAAGGTCCGCCTCCTCAAAACCATAAGCAATATCTTCATCGCAATCATGACAAACCCCTATAACCGCAGCCGAGCCACTCTCCCAACCTTCACCAAAACTTACCCCAAGCACCCCTCTCTCACCCACCGAATCTGGATCCCCTCAACCTACCAATCTGGTGACGCACCATTACCCCTCTACCTCAACATCCACGGCGGGGGTTTCGTAATCGGAAAACCCGCCCTAGACGATGGATTCTGCACCCACTTCTCCTCCAAACATCGTATCCTCGTCATCTCCCTCGACTACTCCAAAGCCCCGGGATCACCATATCCACAAGCCGTCAACGAATTAACCGATATCGTAAACGCCATCCTCGAAGATGAATCACTTCCATTCGATCGCGCGAAAGTGGCCATTGGTGGTTTCAGCGCCGGCGGAACTTTATCCCTCGCGGTTCCACAGGCTGCCTCTCTTCAAGGTAAGATTCAGGGCGTCTGTGCATTTTATCCCCCGTGTAATTTTGTGACGCCTCTATCGGTGTCTATTGCTGCGAGACCGGAACATGCGCCTAAAGATCTCTTGGAGGAAATGGCTCCGCTGTTTAATTATGCGTATCTACCTCCAGGAACGGATTTGTGTGATCCGAGACTCAGTGTGGCCTATGCGAAGAGAGAGGTTTTGCCAAAGAAGATTTGTGTTGTGGGATGTGAGTTTGATATGTTATGGTACGATGCAGAATTCTTAGTCGAGAGGTTGGTAGGGAAGGAGAGGGTGGAGGGTGAGTTGGTTTGGGAGGTGGATGGGGTTAGGTGGGAGAAGGTTATGGGTGTTGAGCATGGTATGTTGAGAATCCTTTGGTTAATTGTTTTTGATTGGAATGATGAAGTAGAATATATATGCTGACTTTTGCGATTTAGGATTTGAAAATGGAGAGGCGTTTCAGCAAAAGGACAAAGTAAAGAGAGAGAAGCAAATGGTGATAGGAAGGAAAATGTATGATGATGCCGCA